CACTGTATCAGCACCTTTGGCTCATGAGTAAATGTAAGTCCTCTCCAGTCTCGGCTGTGAGCATTTAGCACACTGTTTGGATACCCATGTGTACAGAACCGTTCTCACACTCTTTGCACACCTTTTTATTGACTGCTATTCCAAAAATGTGTCATGTACCTGCTGTCTCATGGGGGTGAATCTCCCCCTCTCTGTCTTGTTCACTTCCACCTTTTTAGCCATCGTTCCCACCAAACGCGTGGACCTTTTTTGTCACAAATACATTTTTTTTTCTTGTATGCGCGTTCTGATGTTGTTTGTTGGCGCCAACGTCTTTAACCCCCCCCCCCAAACAACTCTGACCTCCCATCTGTCGGGCTGTAAGTGTGTGGCGGTGAGCCGAGCATTGCCCCGCTCTGGCTTCCCTGTAACATCCAGAAGAGACGTCTTCGTTTCGATGGGACAAAAGGGCCGCCAAGGATCACAGATGTTCCCCGGGGGGGCTTATGGGTAATAGCCAGCTGCCTATAGGCTGCGAGCTGGAGATTCGGAGAGGAAGTTACAGGTAGGAGAGGAAAGCGGAGTACAGGTGTCTGGGTCCATCAAATTCCATCAACAAGTTAACCTCCACTGAAATATCTCAAGGCCCATTGAAAATATTTCGGTGTTTAACATATTAACTCTACACACTGTGACTGAAACTAGGCTGTGCATCATTTTTATGATTTTTAAGTCAATAAGAATGGAATTTAACCATTAGTTCGGCAGTTGATTGTGGCCCATCAGCTCCTCCACACAGCGCTAAGCTGACATTCTTTGCAAGAAACATCCTGCACTGCTGTGTAACTCTTTCTCGTAAATGCTTTAACCAGGATCCAAATGTAACCCAAATGGTTTAGTCACATATTAAAACGGCATTCAACGTGTGTCTGCAACCACAAATGGTAAATGGACTGTACAGCGCTTTTCTTCCTCCGACCACTTGAAGCACTTCTTCATCACATGCCATCATTCACTCGTTCGTAAAGTGATGGAACTACCACACGCGGTGCCACCTGCCCATGAGCAACTAACATTCACACACTGTAGTCACAGCTACGGGAGCAATGTCGGGGTTAAGTGTCGTGCCCAAGGACACATGGACATGCGGGTTAGCCTGGGCCTGGGGTCCAACCGACAACCCTCTGATTGGAGGACCACCGTGCTCCCGACTCACCCACAGTCGCCCACAATTGCTGTTACTGTTGCTGTAAGGTTACAATTACATGTCCCCCCAATATGCCCCCAAATTTGATCAATGCAGCTGTCTGCAGCTGCATGTTGCACAACTCAGTCCTTCTGCATATTTAGTTCCGTTAGCGGTTAGCTCTGTTAAACTGTAAACAACGTAAAAGTAAAACAATACTCAATCAAAGTTTAACATAATTACAAAGCCCCGTTCCTGTAAGTCCCTATCTATGGACCAGGCCATCCCATACATGCACGGGACCTCTGAGCCGTGGTCCCTTGCCCAGGCCAGCACGGCTGTGGTCCCAGTCCTATAGGAGAATAAGGACACAGTTCATGGCGCAGCTGAAGTCATCGGCCAGGCATCCGTCAGAACCGCCACCAAAACAATGGACCCCTCTGTCCCTCTAACACAAGGTTGGTTTTAGTCAAGAGGCCGAGCGGCGCTGCAATGGACCGGCAGCAGCAATGGAACTGACAGCTACAGGTTGACCTGGCGCTGTACTGTGACGCCCCACAGCCCTCTGTCGGGAGGGGGGGGGAGGGGGGCTGTTTGATTAAAATGAGGGTCGTCACCTCGAGTCTATCTGTTAAATATGCCGCTTGAAAGTGTATCCTGGTCCTGAAGGGAACAGTTTCAGTGTTTTGTGTCCGAACATGACTTTTCAGTAACAGAACGAGAGCACGGAGCGCTTAGCCGACGTTTCACAGGCCCGACCTTGAAAGCGTGTGCCAAAAGAAAAGTTTTCTTTCTGGATGTGCCGCCGCCGCCGGGCGCCCGTTAGGAGCGCAGAGACGGAGGTCAAGTCAGTCTGTGGCGGCCTGCTGTTTCATCCCCGTCTCTCCGGAGTCAGTTAATCTCAGCCCGGCGTCCTGCCGTGCCTGACCCCAACCCGGCCACCTCCGTCTCCATAACCACCGCGTCGCCGTGGCAACAAGGGCCCATACACACAGGCCCGCGGCGATGCTCTCGCGGTTTTGTGAGTGTCTAAAGAAGTTTTAATACATGTGGAAAATGTGTTTGAGCTGTGGTGCGTCTGTTTGGCCCCCGAAAAGCCAGAGCCGGCTGTGTCAATCGCGTACTAGAACGCCGTTGTCTACTGTACTCTGGAACCCCCCCCACCCCACCCAACCCCACCCCGCGCACGCCTCCACCCCCGTCCTTCTCCCACTCTCCATTGGAGAAACAATGGTCAAATCCATAGGCCACAAATACATGGAAAAACAAAGCACCCTGTGTGTTCTTCTCTGTCCCTCTTCCAATCAAACAAGAGTAAGACGATACAAAGAAGGCACTGACAGTACAGCACACACACAAACACACACACACACACGCTGCAGCAGCCGGGCAGAAGGGTCCTTTTCATGCATTCTGCCTCTGTAGGAGGTTGGGAGTTGGTTTATGCATGACAGCTGAGTCCATCCTCCCGTCACATTAATCACACCACGAGCTCGATGCAACTTAAATGACCCGTTTTCTGAAGGGGAATCGACATGGGACCGTTTAGTACATATGGGAATATCTCTATTTACATGGGGTGAAAGCGTGGACACATTTCCCATTCGATTCAATGAGAAAGTGTGTCCAGACCTTCGACTGGTGCCGCGTGTGTGTGTGTGTGTGTTGGTGTGTGTGTTAGTGGCTGGGTGGGTGCAGAGCTGCATTGCACTCTGTGTTGAAGAGCGAAAGGCGCCAGCGTTTTTCACTAAACATTTGACACAGTCTGACAGTCCCACTGCTGCCCTCCGTATGAAGCCCTGTATAAAAAGCGTATTCACACCCCTCTGTGAAGGACTGGGATGCCACTGTGTTGTGCTTATTATTTGAGTTGCCATAATCGCACCTTGTGTGTGTGTGTGTGTGTGTGTTTCTGTTTGTGTGTGCGTCCAGATGGCCTCTCTGTGCTGGCATGACTTCATCCACATGCTAAACCTACGCAGACGTCCCATGGGATACGTCATAGCTGCCCACACCAACTCCACAGCAGCTTGAACAGGCATTTGAAGACGAACCATTTGTTAAAGCAGACGCGGAAATCTCACATGGAGATGATGATTTATGCTTTTATTTAACTCCATTGACACCTGTGTTTTCCAAATACCTCATTTCAAAGCAGCTATAAGTTGATATAAACCATTTACTGTATGTGTTCATACGGAATGACAGAGTGTGAAAGGGGAGCTTCGCAGTGACCAACCTGGACAGGGAGCTCTCTTGTTTTTAGGGAGTTTTATGTTGAGTTTTTGCTCATTCCGACGCACAACTTTACGGTTTTGGGTCACTCACCCGGCTCTCACAGCATGTCCAGCCGCATCAAAAGTAGCTCTAACAATCCAGGGGACACAACTCATTAAACAGCAGACACAGTTCACTATCTGGTCAACATAGTGGAGCATTCAGAGCTTAGAGAGTCCTACGAGTTGGTGGAGACCAAACTTGGAGCAAAAAGGGAGACAATATTGTCTTGCTATAAATTGGAGAGAAAGTGGTCACACATGTGCGATATTAAGATCGGCGAATATCCACCTAATGAATGACCTTTGTCCTTAAGGCTCTAACACCCTAATGGAACTGAGCTCAAATGTAAAAAAAAAAAAACTGCCCACCACTCGTGTCACTCTAAGACCACGATCTGTAACGATGGCTCACTAATAGACAAAACGTTCTTGAACGGCTAAAAAACAGCAAAAATAGTTGGGCACAACATATGTAATGCAGATTGATGTTATTTCCTTTTCACCCACCTTGTGTTCAGTTACTCTGCATGCTCAGGCGGGAGCCGATAGTGGAGTAACACTAAAGGAAGGTCACGCCCTCACTCCCCTTGGACTAAAGCACTGTGCACCACCTGCCTGCTTCACATTCTATTCACCGGTTTCATCTGAATATTTCAACCTCCCTCTTTTCTATCACATGTGTATTTAAGACCAGACCCCTTTTGGATTTGTGCTCTACAAAAGGGTTCCACTAAGACAAGTATTATCCGGTACTACAAGTATCAAATAATACTATTATACTTATATATATATGCTATTGAATAACAGTATTTGATAAATCTATTTAGTTTATCATCAAATCAAATGTTAAAACTGATTTGGTTTCTTGTTCTGAAAGAAAGATCATCACCTTTTAATTGACAGCCTTTAGTTCCCAAAGGTATGCAGTTAATTAAAGCATGAGATGGAAATGAAATCCATCAAAAAGTTATCAAAAGTAAGTGCCCCTGTGCAGTACTTGGGTCGGTGTCCTGCCTTACTTACTGAATGATGTGCTGCCTATCGAGTCTCTGTGGGGAGGGTTCGGCTTGACAGAAGTGGAAACTGTATATTTGGTGAAGAGCAAAAAATAATCTCAATTTAATGAACAGCAGCGTCCACAGAGAAAACGTCTACATCAGCGAGGGCCTCAACTTCAAACTTTTCCTTTCTCCCAAGGAGGCCTCGAGATTTATAATGTGACGGTGCGGAAATGTGCTGAGCCTTCAAGGAGGCTGCGGAGAACAACGAGCACAAGGGCTTTGAATTATTCAGGTTGAAATCAAATCACAGCAGGACATCCCACCCGACCCCCCCCCCTCTCAAAAAATCATGAAGCCTATGTTGGATGACTTTTTCTTTTATGGTTTGTTAGAATGAGCAGTGAGTTCACGGACTGCCGCTTACACCCTGACCTCTAGTGTCGGCTCTGAGTATTGCATTACGTTTTCGCTTCTTATAAATGAAAATCACCCAATGTAGAAAACATCACTTTTATTCATTTGTTCACATGGTTGAGCTGGTCGCCCCCCCCCCCCCCCCCCCCCCCCCCACCTGGAGAACGCAAACAGCGATGGAAGCAGGAACTATCTGTACAGACGCAGGCAGCTTGGGGCGCTTCAGCAGATTGTCGAGCGCTCGTGTGATGATTTCACGCACATCGGACTCAACCTCCCCCCTCCTCCCCCCCACGGGGGACGTGTGGACTGGGGGGGGAGGGGGACACAGTCTCTGGTGCTGCTTTGGTCACAGCTCCTCCTTGCCGCTCTGAGAGTCTGAGGACGACGCGGCGTTGGCTTCGGCGTTTTTGGAGTCCTTCTTGGTGACTTTTACCGTCTTTTTTGCCGCCGGTTTTGCGTCCTTTTTGGCCGCCTGCTCGGGTTGCGTCTTAACCGTCTGCTTCCCGTCCTTTTTGGCAGCAGGTTTGGCTTTGCTCGCCGCCTTGGCCTTCGCTTTCGGAGCGGCTTTGACCTTGGCGCCTGGTTTCGTTTTGCCGACCGGCTCCGGCTCCGCCTCCGCCTCCGCCCGGACCTTTGCCGGGTCGGCGGCCACGTCGCCTGCCGGCGCGTCCGGCCTCAGCTTCGCCGGCGCGTCGCCCCTCGTGCCGTCTGTCTTTCCCTGGTCCGCCCGTGCGGCAGGTTCAGCCGTGGTCGGTGGGGCCTCTGAGGCGCCGCCCGCCTCCTTCTTGATGAACTCTGCGTTCACCGGCGTGGAAAACATATCCAGCATCTCCTGAGCTTGGATTCTCTCCTGCGGGAACGGAAGAAAAGACAGGAATTCATTACAGTAGATGTATGATCAGTGTTTTGCCGTTGATATTACTCTTTAAAAGAGGACACCCCCTGTTATTATTTAAGGATTTTGTAGTCGTAACGAATGATGTGATGTGCCAGAAAAAGTGATTTCAAACAGCAAACGATGCTGCTGGTAAAAACTACCACTGCACAGCGTTCGTCCTCGGCGATGGTGCGTACCTTTTCCTCGTGGGCGGGATCCAGCGTGAACCACAACGCCACCGCGCACCTCTGGCCCCCGGTGACGGCTCTGACGCCGTGGGGGTTTTCCCGCCCGGCTCCGAACCCGACCACGCGACCGCACCGCGGACGCACCTCGGCCTGAAGGAGTCCAGAAGCAGAGACCCGTGACACTTGACATCATCTCCGGCGGGAGATTATGTGTTTTCGATACGGTGTGTGCGTCCGTGCATCTGTCTGTCAGTCGAAGGCTAATCATGCAGACTACGGGAAACACACAGCCATGTGTTCTTGCACCTGTCTGGCAATTCACACTGAAAAAACACATCATCTATGACAACGATACATATATACACAACTATGCTGACATATATCACAACTGCATCAGTTACTTTCTGTTTCAGATTACAAAATGTTGATCGGTCGCATCAACAGGAGGAGACATGGTGCACTAATACAGTTAACAGTGCTAACATAGCTACTAGCACTCAAAGCTTTAAGGACTAAAACCAATGACTGACAGTTTCTGCTCAGGGGAAGCTTTAAACAGTCAACCTTGAGTGCAGGACAACCACCTGCATTCAAGCTGCTCGATGCGATTGGGGGTCTATTCGCGCTGCTGATGTGGCTCATTTTCATTAATATGACACAAGCGGTAATTGCAAACCTAAACTGGCGGAGACGGGCACTCTTCTGATTGAAATCCGTGCTGCACAGGTGGAGAAACAGGTGACGGAAGGAAAAGCTGGACAGTTACCGTGACTGTTTTGGCATCCAGCTCAGTGAAGATGAATTCTCCTCCCTCAAAGTCACCGTTCAGATAAAGGATGGCGCTGCGTGGGGGGGGGAGACATCAGGAGGTTATGCAGGTGCCCGTCACTGGGACTCTGTAGTGCACTTGCACGCATCTCTGTGCACGCGTGCTCACCTGTAGTCTCTGTGTGTGTATGCCGGAGGTTCCTTTATGCACTCGTTCAGCTCGGAGACCAGCAGACAGTTGTCCACGTGAACAGGGTGACTCAGGTCCTCGCGCTGCTCCTGCTTCTCTGAATAGACAACAGTGCAAAAAGAACAACTCAGACCGTCCAGAACGCGTTTAACGTTTTAACATGACCAGATTCTGCCAGGCCGCGTTCAACCTGTTCGCCACAGCAACTTCTACAGGGACGTCAGCGCTTTGTCCTGCTGCCCTCTACTGGCCACAGGCGATGAATGCAGACTTTCCCTGTCCCTCATTTTGACCCCCCCTTTGGACGTACCGTTGATGGCGGAGCGACAGACCAGGTGTGAGTAGGAGAAGTACAGGGGGGCCTCCAGGCGGAAGTACGACTCCAGCATCTTCTTCACCTTCTCGCTGGTGTCAAAGAACAGACGAGCGCTCTTCAGCGGAACCGTCCCCTCCTGCCCGAGCTGTGGGCGCAACAAACGGCGTTGAGCAGCAGCACATGGGGGGGGGGGGGGGCGCCGGAATCAACTGGGGCTTTGCTTTAACGGACCCTCCCGGCCCTCCGGGAGGGGACTCCCTGGGAAGTCTCCCTGGGGGAAGGGGGGGAGGGCCGCCCCCTGTAGCCGTCGCCCTTCACAGCAGCTGCCTGGGGAATACGCACGGCATAAACACTCTCGATCAACGCCGACACTATTGCTAACAATAATTTATGTTGAATTATGAGGCATAATAATTAGACATCTTTGCATCAATAAGTCTGTTTTAGAGGCAACATGCTGCTTCCTTCCTTCCTCCCTTCCTTCCTTCCTTCCTCCCATCGCTCACATTGGAGAGGCGTTGCAGCTCCCTGCACTCGTCCTCGCTGGTCACCCCGTCCAGCAGCACCCGCTGAGAGCCGTTCAGCTGACTGGCCGTCATGGTCACCTTGATGTCCCCGGGCAACGGGGCGCCGCCTGGAGGAGACAGGACGCGGGGTAAAGAGGCCGGAGGGCCCTATTGAAGCAATCGGCAGCCGCGAGTGCGACTTTAAAAAAATGGCACACAATCGTGGCGCAAGGCCGAGCGTGAGGGACGAAGAGATCTGAGGGACAGGACAGGTGCTGCATGTGGTCTTCAGTCTCCAAATCTCCTTTTTGTCCAATCATCAGCTCCTTTTGGTGGCACATGAGCACATGCAGCGGTGATGTAAGCTTTGGACACACCTTCTCATTGCATGAGGAAATGGGTCCAAAGTGCAGCTCACTTTCTGGTCAGTGGGCCCTTTAAACAGCAGGAGAGTAAGAGCTCTTTGTTGGTCAATGATGCGTTCTGCTGCCTGGAGATAGAAGTGCGCCGAGAAGCCACCACACACACACACGAGACCAACCAACCCATTGCCAAAGGTACGTTGGTGGAAATCTAGTCTATTTTTACTGTGGATTTGTTTAAAATATGAGCGCACAACGAGGAACAAATGCTCCACCGTCTCGCTGACATCGGGTTCTCTCGTCATCCGGGTGTAATATTCACCTTCCTGAGGCGCTATGATCATGGCCATCTCCGAAGAATCCTTCTTCTTCTCCTCGACCAGAGTCTCAATCTCCTTCATGAGGTTTCCTATCTCCTCCGTGATCCTCGCCGTGGTTTCTCTGTCCGCCCTGAGTCACGGAAAAGGCGGAATGACATCACTTCCACAGCAAACGGATTCTGTGTAAATGTGTGTGTGTGTGTGTGAGAAAGAGGCTTCGTGGTCAATCCTACTTCTGCTTGTCCCTCAGCTTCTTAGGCATGACATCTTCAGGAGTCCACGCGTCCTGAATGCCGGGGGAGACGGTAAAAAAGGCACCAGTCAAACACCACCAGTCAGCAGAATGTGCTCCGCGGCGACGAACTTATTCACTCACCGGATCGACAAAGGTGATTCCGAAGGCTTCGTACCCAAAGTAGAGCAGCTCTTTTTCCAATATGGACTGCTGGATATGCAGCTGCACCACCTGGAGGAAAGACAGAGAGAAAAAAGCATCATGTATAGTTCTAAAATGTAAAGTATACACATGAATAGATGTGTTTTTAGCATTTGTACTGTAGGTAAACGGTCACTTAAAAACCCCTGAATTCACAAATAACCACGTGGGGTCATGAGCATCATTTATATTAAATGTCTTCATTTTGTAATATGGTCATTGGGAACAACACGAACAATGAAATACACAGATTGAACGGCTTCTCGGAGCATGTGAAGCCTCAAATCTCAAAACAACTCCCACTCATTGCTCCTTCGAGAGGCAGGAAACAGTTTTGGGACCTTTTTTCGGGTCCTACCTGTCTGGCGGCGACGGCGCGCGCCTTGTCTTCGCCCAGCACGGCGGAATAATAAGCCAGGTTCTGGCTCATCACCTCGTCCCCGGGGTGGAACAGCAGGAAGGTCCGGGCGCACTCGACGGCCTGCTCGTACTTCTCGCCTGGAGGGCAAAGGGGGGGGGGGGGGGGGACAGAGTGTGGAGGCTCTCACTTCGGGGGAAGCGCCGCCTACACGTGAGCGCGACGCAAAAATCGGGTCGGAGCATTGCCGCTTTGTCGACGGGGAGCCTGCGTCGACTCGCTCCCGGGACGTTGGACGAGGGGCCGCCCGCGTACTCACTGTTGTAGTAGGAGAACTGCAGGTAGTTGAAGTGCGCGGGCAGGAAGTCCTCGAAGGGCTCGTCTTTGCCCGCCGTTGAGGCCAACTCCACCGCGCAGTGCTGCTTGCAGCTCAGCACCTGCATGTAGTGGTCTGACGGAAGGGGCGGCGGTCAGCCGATTCTATCTGGACACCCCCCTAAGCGCCCCCCCCCCCCCTCTCCAGAGGACGCACGGGCCTCACCTGTCATGGTCTGGAAGAGGTCGGCGCTGTACTCCATGTAGTTGTAGCCGTCGTAGTTGTAGGAGCCCTCGCACAGCGCCCTGCACTCCTTGTCGGCAGCGAAGTACTCGTCCAGCGCCGCCTCGAAGTGGCCCGCGGCCAGGCCGAAGGAGTCGTCGCTGTAGTAGCTCTTCCCCAGCAGGAACTCCGCCTGAGGAGAGACAGAGCGTCGCCATGACAGAGCGGGACGGTCGCGCCGAATCACAAGTGCTACGACCTGTAAAATGTAATAGTGCGGTAACAACAGAGTGGACGCGAGGTCTTTTGTTTTGGGGTCAGAATCCGACCGGCGCCAACTAGGTTTTAACCTAAAGGGATTTTACTTGTGTGCATTGGTGCCAAGAAAAGAAACACATTATTCAAACGAATTAAATATAACACGGCATGTCAGGAATGTGCATTGCATTGTTTGTCTTAACGTCTATTTTGCCTTGTGCCTCTGGGCCAGAGCATTGTACAGAATGGACTAACGTCATAATTCCGCAAATGTCCTCAACCACAAAGCGCTGGAAGGCGGCGGGCCGCCTCCCTCTGATGAGCGGCCAGAAGAGGCGTCGGCTCTCACCATGTGCGGCTTGGCCTCCAGATCTCTGAAGTCCTCCGGCTCCACCCCGGCCATCATCTTGTAGTAGTCCAGGTTCTGTTTCATCTCCATGTGATCCGGGTTGGCCAGGAAGAACGTGTGGGCCGCTGCTACTGCCTTGTCCATCTTGTTGATCTGGGAGGAAAAAAAAGAAAATAGAGCACATTCGCAGTCAGCTGCTTACCTTTGATTAAAGGAGCTGTTCAACAAAACCATTTACCGCAGTTCATGAAGCCCTTCGTGATACAGGGATTAGGATATAATGCATTGGGATACTGTCTGCAATGTGATATATGTTCTATTTTTAAAATAAATCAAATTTTTTAAACACACAAACCCATGATATTGAGCAGCCGTGTGTTTGAACGCAACACAAAATGAAACAATTTTATCCATGGAACTATTCATTTTAAAACCAACAGTGATGATTTGAGAATAAACACGGCCTCACAAGACATAGTAACGCGATACACAACAGTATCGATATGTGTTTACACCCCTTCTAAGAATCATCCTTCAAATTCACGGTTTATTTTTATTCTCACACATATCTCAGTGATAGTTTTTAATTCTGCAACAGGCTTTTTAAGTTTGGTGCTGCGTTCAAGTTCCGTCTGAGGGTCGTATTTTTTGCTAAAACTCAATCCAAGAAAACTGCTAATGTGAAGAAAAAAAATAACATCCTCGCGCATCCCATCGCTTCCCACGGAGTCCGTCCCACTTGGACGCTACAAGTACTCCAGAACTCCTGCGCTTCGTGTCGGGGAAAGAGTGAGTGTGTACGTAGCATTTGAAGGCCACACGTTGGGCCTCTTCACTGCTGGATCCCTGAACGTCTGCACGCGAAGCCTCCACAGAAGCGGACTCCACCTTAAAGACGTGGCACGCTTTGCGATGGTTTCGGGGGAGTTTTTTTTTTTTTTGGTAGTGTCCAACTGGGTTTTGTTTATAACCTGCGACGGGTGACGCGTTTTCACAAGGACAACGTTAATTGGAGTTAACTTAAACTTTTCCGACATGCGTGACTCGATTACCTTAAAATATGCCACTTGCAGGTAATTGTACGGGGTCCTCTTCTTGAACTCCAGCTCCACTTCTGCGGTGACCCAGTGCACCGTCGGGGTGCCCAGTTTCTCCGCCTCGCACGAGTTCACGCAGTCGGCCCGCTTGAGGATCTTCTGGAAGAAGCCCAGGTCCTCCACGGAGCCGGCGCCCGGCACGGCGGCTCCCGGGCCGGACGAGGGACCCCCGAAGGCGGTCTGGTTGGCGCAGCCCAGCCGGCACTGAGCCTTGACGCTGCGGACCGTGGCTTTGTTCCGCAGCGCCTTCTCCATGTTCAGGATCACCGTCAGCCAGTCCCCCTTGTAGTAGGCTTCCACCGCCGTGTCGAAGAGGGAGTCGAAGGGCTCCAGAGGGTGCGAGGCGCACGCGGCGAGGGAGAGGCAGCAAAGCAGCAGCGCGTAGCGGGACTCCATGATGCTGAAAACCCGCCGGGGCTCCGCAGCCCGATCCAGGAGGTTAGACGCCGGTGGGAGGCGGAGAGGTGTCCACTGGTCGGGGAGGCGGGGTTCTGGCACACTCGAGCCCCCCCCCCTCCCCCGGAAGACCCCCGTCGTTGTAATAATGTAATAAAGCTTGACTTAAATGTGTACTTCTCATTTACAGTAGAACTGTGTAAAATAATCACATCAACCGGACAAAAAAACCCCCACTAAAAATCGAAGCAATATCATATCATCGTCAACAAGGACCACGCTTCTAAATGTAATTACACATAAAACTCAAACTAGGAGCAATAAATGGGATTTTTATTTTGCTTTTTTAAGAAACTCGAGTGTCCACAGTGATCAGCTGCATAGAAACCGGAAAATATGACTTTAACAACCTGATGGTGCGACTTTTTGGCAAAGTTATCAAAAACAGCAAAAAAAGGGAAAAGAGCACATTTGGCATCATATGAACAATATGTTCATGTCATATGTTTTTTCTCAGTATGTATTGGATTTCTACGTAGGAAGAAGCCTATCGTATTATAAAGACAAGCACAAATGACTAAAGCCACTACTTTTAGAAGAATATGTAACCATTGACATGTAAAAAAAAGACCTGCTCGCAAGTGTATTTTTAAATTTATTTGATACTATGTTATAAATAGTTACTTGGTGAAATAATACTACACATTTTGATGAAAATATATGTCCCACATTTTGTTGTTACAGGAAACCTGCAAATGCAATACATATAAATATTTATGCACAAACCAGTAGTGGTGAATAGTTAATGCTCTCTCATCTGCTTACGTATATCACATTATGTTACGAAATTAGTACTTTTACTATTAAAGTACATTTATCCGCAAATATTTAACTATTATTTGAGTTAAGTATGCAGGACGTTTTCCTGATGTGCTTTGTGATAATACCTTATTTATCCAAAAAAAAAGAATAAATATAAAATGGGAAATAACTTCTAGCCCATCGTGAAAAAAACCCAACTTGTGTAAGTGTGAGCGCAATGCATCATGGGGGAAACCATGGAAGGAAATGGCAAGAAACCTAAAGCCAAGACTGTTGTCAATGTAATGCACCTCTGCGTTTATCCCGCGCCTCTGTGGTTTAATGCAGTGTTCAGCTGTGGATGGAATAAACGTGTGCCAACAGCTTTTATGGAGGGAAATCGCAACTCTGCTTTTTTGATTTCTCAACAGTGACACATCTTCTCCGTTTTAAATGTTCTGTTGCGGGGATGTTTTTATGCGCCCGAAAACTCACACGAGTAATCATGTGAATATACTATTGAATATACTTGTTAAAATTGTCCCATTGTAATTCATTTGCAAAGGAATGTTTCACGTTGCAAACATACATTTATCACGTTAAAAAAATATCCAACAAAGCTTTTTATTTATTATTTCCTTACAGGCACATATTAGGTCTACCATCAGTTCAAAATGGGACGGAGATTTAGGACCCCGTCGAACCTCAGGTAGATATTCACTATTCAGCCTGTTAGGAAACCAGCAGTCGGAGCTTTAAATATCCTCTGTGACAGGCGTTTGTCGTGAAAAGGTAAAGAAGAAGATGGAAAGGACGGTCAGCCTCCCGAATCAGCCCGACAGAACCACCACGGGTAAGAGAAGCGTGTCCCGTCCGAGCCGTTATACGTGTCTACGCTGTCAAACCGTCCCTGCGGTCTCAAAATCACCTCGCAAGGTGTCTCGCAGAGCTGCCCGTCGCTGTGAATGGGATTACACTCCCTCAGATGAACCAGCTCCACTTCCCGCACTCCTCTTATTCATAATGGGTTCAGAAGTGGTCGTAGGAGCAGCTGTCGTGGTCGTGCAGTAAGTCACACCATGCGTTATACAATGGTGACGTAACTGTACTCGTGCGTGTGTGTTTCTCCTTTGACAGTGACGCTGGTTGAGAGCAGCAGCGCCCCCAGCGGGGTGGAACTGGTCAGCTCCTACCAGACCACCAGGGTGGGAGACCCCATGGACCTGGTGGCCTTGGCCACGCAAGTACAGCGGGTACGGACTGACACTTACGAGGATTCTTTCCAAGCTCTCCGCTTCTACACGACCATGACTGGATTCTTTTTTTTTTATTTAGGGGGACGATTTCACTAAAGCCAACGCTTGCAACAAACTGACGGTCATCGCCGACCAGATCAGGTACCTGCAGGAACAGGCGAGGAAGGTGAGCGGTGAAAACTCTTTTAATACATGCAGCTATTTTCTTAACATAGATGAGTTTAAACAACCCAACATGGATTCTTGTGGAGTGGGATCTATTCAACAAAACCAAAGTGGTCATGTGATCATAACGGCAATGTTCACACCTGACGAGATTTCCTCCCGATAATAATGCACATTTTGACAGGAGAGCGGATGAAGACTATCTCTCTCTGATTACATCTGGTGTAACGTGGCCCTATGACACGAACACCGCATTTAACGCGACACATTGTGACAAAAACAGGCTTTGGGTCCAGCGTTCATATTTCTTCTCTCTTTTCAGGTTTTGGAGGACGCTAAAAGAGATGCCGACCTCCACCACGCTGCCTGCAACATAGTCAAAAAACCCGGCAACATGTACTACCTCTACCAGCGGCCCTCTGGACAGCAGTACTTCTCCATCATCTCCCCGAAGGTCAGGATTCTACCGATGCGTGTGCACGTGAACGTGCACCAACCAGACGGTTGACGTAACACAAACACAGTTTAAAGGTCACGTGACTGAGAGGAGAGCCGATAGCGAGCAGGTGGACAAAAACACAGGCGGGTTAAGGCTGGATTTGACCGGTTGCAGTATGTTTGTCGATATGGAGTTTGTGAAATACAGGGAAAAATGAGTTTTTAATTATTTTTGTGAATTGCAAACATTCAGAAGTTTGGGGGTTTTAGTTGCATATTCAATTGTATCAATTATTCAGCTTTTTTGTCAGAAAAAGGCCGTTTTCCCGTCTCACCCTCGTGGCCTTGCTCCCCCCTCCCCTCCCTCTCCTGAAGGAATGGGGTCCCAGCTGCCCGCACGCCTTCACCGGCGCGTTCAAGCTTCAGCACGACATGTCCTGGACCCCCGCGGAGCAGGTGGAGAAGAGGGACGCCGAGATTGCCATCATGGACAAACTTCTCAGCCAGCAGACCACCCTGCCGCCGCACACAGGACCCAACTTCAGAGGCATCTCTGAGTAGGGGGGGGGGTCACCAGTTAATGGACGTGAGTCCGCACATGCAGCCAAAGCGTCTCGCACTGACTCAAGGAGAAGCGGGTAAACTCGATCCCGACGGTGACGGACATCCAAACAATCGTTTGTCGTGGTGTCTCAAATCTTTTAAATATGTAAATGAGCGTTATCGAATACAAATGCAGGGAAATAATTTGTTTAAAGCTTTTGATTTGGTTGATGAAGGTTTTAGCTGAGGGGATTTGGGATATTTCTTCTGCATTTACTCCATGAATCAGATATGAACAGCTGTTCAAAAAAAATGGTCGACATTTTTTGTAATAACTGATAACGTACAAGTGAGGCTGTCAATGAAACGTGAACAGACGTGATGAGGAGGAACGACACTACAGTTTGGTGGATATAAGAGACAGTGGATTTATGAACGTGACTAAACATGAACCAATACCATCAAATATTCAAACCAATTACGACCAAGGATCTTCGTCTTTAGTCTTTAGAAATGTGTGCCTTATTTATGGGTAACTTTAGGGACATTTATGGGTCTACAGATGGAAATGAACACCGTATTAATAGAAAGACACAGTGTGGCACACTGGTTAGCCTGCACGTGGACACAGTCCATTTGAATTTATCAAACTGGTTCCATCTACATTTAGTAGAGGACAAGATTTAGAGTCTGCAGTTTTATGTTGACAAATAACATTTTCTGCTATGCAATGATTTTTTTAAAGGAATTGTTCATTGTTTACATCTTTTCTCTGCTTCTCTTTTCAACATGTTACAGCTTCCAACAGCATAAAAAAATAAAAAGCAACCATATAAAAACCATGTGTCTCACAGGCCGTTGACTTTTATTAAAGAGGTATTAGTACGATCATTATTAGTACTATTAAGTATTAGTACCTCATCCAACAGGAGGATATTACAACTTTGGAAAATAAATGACACCATCTATTCACACATCTGTTTAATCAAGAAAATTAAAATGCAATAACTTTATTTTGAAACATCTTCAGCAATTTAATACAAGGAGCAATACTAGTTATTAAAGTGGGACAAAAGAGTTCATGATTTGTTTTTTTAAAAGTCCGCTTTTTAAAATGATCTTTTTCTAAAAGCGAGCCACCGCGCTGCATCACGGGGGGGCGTCGCCCCGCGAGGACGTGATTGTCAGTAAATAGGAATTTAGGTGACTCAGAAGCCGCCAGTCATCTGTGGCTATGTGGAACTGCGCGGGTTCCCCGGGTCGTATCCTCAGCAGCACGTGCGCCCGCGGCGGGAGGAAGATGAGCACCTTGAACTCGTCTTCGTCGGACCGGTCGGATACGAGGAAGGGGAGGAAGTGTTCCGCCACCAGCGCGCTGAGCGGCCCCTCCTTCGCCTGGCAGCAGAACAGGCTGGTCGCACAGTCCTCCTGGTCCTCCGCGCTCATCTCCCCCCAGAGGGCCTCGAACAGGACCGGCCCGCCGCCGCGGCCCCAGGCCCGGGGGGCGGGGAGGGGCGCGAAGGCCTGCTGGAAGGCCACGTGGACCTGCGGCAGGACGGTGAACCAGGAGAGGCCGTCCTCGGCGGTAAAGATGGCGCTGGCGTGGAGCGTCGTGGGGCGGGGCCGCCTGGGCTTCAGTCTCAGCGTGACCTCGGCCGCCGCCCGCCCCCTGAGCAGCCGCGGGACGCTGACGTCGGCCAGCTCTTCGTAGTGGGCGTCCGTGAGGCCGAAGTGGAGGCGGATGCTGAAGAGCTGGTCGAAGCGGGGGTCGTCGTCGCCGTCGATGTGAGTCAGCCGGTAGTCGATGGCGACCTGCGAGGCGAAGCCGGGGTCATCGAACTGCGCTCGGTATTCTTCCAGAGCCGCGCGAGCCTCCGTTGGGAAAGTCCCACTCTGCCTCAGCTCGCCCGCCTCAGCAGCTGGCGGCGCGGAGCGGACCTCCGTCAGCCCGATTAGCGACTTCTCCGTCCGGTGGACGGTGAGCGCGCTCGCCAGACCCTCGCTCTCGCCTACTATGCAGGACAGCGATCGCTTCTTGACCCGCCGCCCGCCGTCGGCGGCCAGAACGCCGGCCAGCTTCTCCCTGGACAGCGTGGTCAGCAGGGTGTAGTAGAGGCGGGCGTGGTCCTGGATGTCTGTGTCGCCATAGCAACGGCTGAGATGCTGCAGGACGTCGGCCAGGGGGATGAACAGCGAGTCCAGGCCCGGGTGGACGAGGAGGCGGCGGCACACCGCCAGCAGGCCGTTCCCCAGGCGCCAGGCGCCGCCAGCGCACGGGGAGCGAGGGGGCGCGGCGATGACGCCAGACAGGAAGCGGACGGTGCGGTGCTGGGTGATCGCCCCCTCCTCCGCCACGCGGGCCAGCGCCTTGAGGTGGTAACCCAGCCCTCGCCAGGTGAGACTAGTGGGCGGGGCCATGGTGATGACCCCCTGAAGGGCCCTCAGGAATCCCACCGCCCAGTCGGACTCGGCGAGCTTCTCCTGGACCCGGTCGGCCAGGTTGATGGCGTGCGGCGCCAGGTGAGCGTGGCGGAGGTAGAGCTGGCACAGCTCCTCCGTCAGGCTGCGGCAGTAGCGCTCCACGTGGCAGAAGTAGAACAGGAAGAGGAACACGGCTCTGAAGGCGGTGACGACGAGCTCCCGGCCGCCGCCGCTCGCCACAACGCGCAGCAGCGTGCCGACGTGCTCGTAGAGGTAAGCCAGCCCCCTGCTCTCCTCCCCCTCCCCTCCCTCCGCCTCCTCCAGGTAGACCAGAGACAGCAGGTTGAGGCGGGCCAGCCCCGTGGCGCCGTCGTCGAACACGGTGGGCGCCAGGGCCGAGGCGAGCCGCGGGGTCAGGAGCACGGGGGGGGCCTCGTCGCCGTCGGCGCCGCAGCCGATCGGCCGGTTCTCGGGGAAGTGCAGCAGGCAGTCGACGTGGAAGAGCTTCTCGGGCGCGCTCAGCAGCGGGTGCTGGGCGAGCACCACCAGCCGCTGGAGGAGGAAGGCCTCGTCCTCGGCGCTGAACAGGCTGTCGGTGAACGCGCACTTCAGCAGCAGCGTGGCGTGAAGGAGGCACACCTGGAAGCAGAGGAACAACGGGTCACGGCGGGGATGTCCACTTCCTATTGGATCATCAAAGTGCTCAACAGAAGACCGCAAATAAATACTCATAATCCTCATTTCATCTGAGGACCTGAACAATAAAAGGACACGAGTCGGAGACACAGACCTCGCTCGTGCCCAGCAGCCTCAGCAGCTGAGCTCTGAACACGGCTGGAGGGACACCGGGCACCATGGCAACCACCTCCGTCAGTCGATGGAGCAGCGCGGCCTGGCACAGAGGAGTGAGGAGGTAGGACTCCTCCAGGAGGGAGGACAGGACCGACCGCAGCTCCTTACAGTCGGGCCCCGTCTGCAGGGTCGGCACGGTGCCCATGGGCCCCAGGGCGAGGGACGACAACGCCGCGGAGCAGTCCCCGTCATCCACCGGGCCCGAGTCCAGCTCCGCCTCCCACGCCACCCACGCGTTGCCTCCCAGGAGAGCCTTGAGCTGCTCGCCGCCGGCTCCCGTGTCCCGGGCGAGGCGATACACGGCGTTCCTCAGGACCAGAGCGTGGAGCCCCGCGTAGGCCTGGTGGAGCCGGGAGGTCTCTCGCTGGCGGAGGCCGCCCAGGAGCTCGAGGCGCTGGGCGAGGAGGCCCGGCGAGCAGGCTTCCAGCTCCCGCAGGCAGTCGCACGCCGCGGCCCGGGGGGAGCGAAGGCCGTCGTCCCCGCGCAGGTCCCCGGTGTCCTGGACCAGCTGAAGGAGCAGGTCCAGGAAGTCCTGCGACGCACGGGAGCGAGTGGCGACGCAGGAGGCGCAGACCAGCACGGCGGTGAGGGCCACGAGGAGCTGGCAGCGGAACTGGACGGACTTGGGGGGACACTGGGCCAACACCGACATGAGCTCCATGGCCGTCTCCTCGCCCACAGCGGCCGAGGGACACAGCAGAGACGGGTGCTCGCACAGCGGGGACAACAGGAGGACCTGCGGTGGAAGAAATGGAAGCGTTATGGGCTCGAACCAGGCATTAAACATTCCACGGTGTTTTAACCGCTGTCAGTTACGCAATTCACAGCTGTAAGAAAAGGCCGCTTATTGACATAGAAGGAGAAACCGTCACGTGGTCTGGGAAGCTGGAGCCTGACGTCACCGAACGTCAAACACACGCGCACGAGGCTCCTGACAGCCGCGCCTCGTTCGCGGAGGTGAACGCTGCACATTTCACTCGTGAGCGGTGGTTACCTTCGCACCGAAGCTGGCTCGGTCATCCCGCAGCTCGCGCAGCAGCTCCGCGAGGAAATCCTCAGCTGTCGTCCCGGAGAGGAAGCGAGACGGACTGCGGGAGAAAGCGGAGATCCTCTCGGCCCAGTTCGCCGCCATTATCCGTTGGTTTACAAAACCGTGGACGTAGAAATGATCCGGTCAATCACTCCGTCCGGAGGCATTGCACACAGCAAGCGTTGACTTACCAAGTGTGACTCAAAGCCCCACCTCAGCATCCAGGGACACACAAGTGACTTCCGTGTTTTGTCACGTGCAATTGGCCAAAAGACAAACAATATCAGGGCACATCAGCGCCCCCTACAGTTTTGGAGTGTCGATTAGGAAGATGAAATCCAAGTTCTTGAACAAATTAAACATGGTATACACTATCGTGCACTTGTTTTGTTGTTAATTCGTAACAAAATGCGCTGAGAAGACACCCACGCATGACGCATTTCACCCCTTCTTACACGGCCCATGCGGCAGAGGGCGCTGCCGGGTCACGTGTCACCTGGTCAGTGACAGAAGAAGCGTGAAAGGACCAATCACATTTGAGACATTGAAATCACCAAGGAAGTCGTTTTTAAGGCGCCAATTTTGTGTCGTCGCTGAGAGGTTTCTCTGTCTTTGTATGTTTGGAACTAGTGAAGCGCAGCAATGTCTGAAAACACCTTCCCCATCTACACTGCCGACGCGATAGTGAATTTCTACCGAACCGAAGTCCTCACCGGTCAAGAGGCCAAACACTTCACGAAGAGCGACTTGACTCCGTCCCCGAAGGTACCGTTCCGCTCCCGGCGAGAGCCAGACGATGAGGAGACATGGATGCTCGTTAGAAAGTTACGGGGGCGCGTTACACAATTCTTATTATATATATATATATATATATATATATATATATATATATATATAATTATTTCTTATAACAACACAAGGGATGCAGGGAACTGAACTGAGGAGTTAATTTGCTAGCTGACGTGAATATTAGCTAACGTTTTACATTTTAAATATACGTCATTCTTTTGACGACAAAGCACTGAAAGGCCTTTTTCCTCAAAGAAAGTCGAACGTAAAAACAAACAAAAGTTTTTCATCGATTAAATATAAACCAGTAACTTGTACTGTATCACTATGGCAACACGGACAGTGACAGGAAATAAAATAAAACTATTGCATTAAATGCAAACTGAATTTATTTATTTCAAACCGTGTGTCGTTTCATTCACTTTGTACAAGCAGCATGTTTTTGTTGTGCAAGCGAATTCCGCGATTCTTGTATATATTTTAATCCTATTGAAGACTGAGCCAAAGCTGTGTGTAAATTCAGTAGTTCCACTCACATATGCTCACATTTATATTGAAAGTATTGTTGTCATCCTGCTTGTCAACAAAATCCCTGTCCGGGTCTGTAGACTAATAATCAGTCAATTCACAATTTTGGGAATTTCAGTTCATAGTTGAAATCAGTAAAACAACAATGACGTTACAGGTTACACTGTCTTATCATATGAAAGTAAAAAGGATGTTTTTGATCTTTTAATTGAAGATTATTTTCTAATACTTAGAGTACTTATTACTTAATTTTCTGGATTAATCAAACTCCTTCGTTTATAAAATCAAAATAATGACAAGAAAAAAGTAGATAAATCAGCTGGACACCACTTGTTAAATTTCCACCGAAATGATTTACTTTTTTAGTTTTTTTTTATTAAGTTCACTACCAGATATGAACAAGTAAGGCAGCAACATGCTGAAGATTATATCTCAAATTATTAGAATTCTTCACTTGTAAAATTACCTTTTAAAATGAATCCTGAAAAAATGGTGGCAGAAGAAAAAATATTAATAATCCCTCATCTTTTCCTCATTCAATCTCATGTGGTTGTGGTTAATAATGATTATTAAGCAGCCAGTGTTAATAGAAGCAGATTACAATAATCAATAACCTCCTGAGGTTACAATTTACCCAGAAATCCTGTGGGAACCGGCTGCATACCTCAAGCCAGTTTCACGTCAACGGCTAAGAAGTGGACCGGACCACACGTTGGCCCGCTGTCTCTGACATGCCGACTGATTGTCGGCCATCTTTTGCCTGTCAACGTGGCGCTCACTTTCGCTTTCTCCCTCCCAGGCTGAGGCGGTTCAGACGCTGTACATGAGGGTGTTGCATATGCTGTATCGGTTCAGGCCCGAGTGTCACTCCATGGTGAGTACCGTCCGTCTGAGCGCGTAAGTTCGCTAAATGATCCAAACGCCACTGAGCAGTCAGACGAATTGCACAGCATGTTTACGTAGAGAATGTTGTCGCCCGTCCAATGTTTTAACAGCTTTATTTCATTTTTTCTACGCAGGTTCCACTTATGGAGAACATTCAGAACCCCGTGTACCATGAGGGCACCACTGCTATCACCAGTGTCTACATACGCATGTGAGTTCTCTTCCTTCCTCTCCTCATCGATATATACAGATATATACATAATATATGAATGATTTCGTGCTTTGTTGCGTTTTTACCGTCGCCGTGTGCCGTCTTCTCACAGGCAGCAGTTTCTGCCGATGTGTTTGGTGTACGATTTTTCACTGAACGACCTTCTAGCTCCAAGTGAGTTCAGGCTTTTTTTTGCACATTCTTCCGTCCAGGTTTTAATTTTTCCTGGTACTGGATCACTGGTCTCCTTCTCCCTTTTCCAGAAAAACAGAAGACTCTGACTGTTCTGAGCGCCATCATGAACTTCCTTCACTTCAGGAAGCAGAGGATGGACATGATCTTCGAGAAGCAGACCAGATTTGTATGTGATATTGATCCACGTAGGGAGGGGGGTTTAACGCTAGAGGATAAAACCTGGAGTGGGCTTGTGTCACGTGGGTCAACAAGGACAATATATTTCCGTAACCCTGCATGATCCACTGTAAATACTCAATGACCTGTTACAGAATAGAATACTGTTGGCTGGACAGATTTATCGTGTGTGAAGTTCCCCTGGTTCTCCCGGTAACCGGGAAATAAACAGGAAGTCATCCTTACACTCAACAAAGAAGACGCTTTTATTGTTGTGACTGAAACCTTACTTTTAAAGGGCCGCTTCTCGGGCCTTTTCTACCCACCTATGCTCACCTCTAAGACCCCAGATCCATTAACAAAGTCACACTCGGTCATTTTACTTTGCAGAACAAGGAGGTGCCCGGCTGCCTACAACTCTACCCGTTAGTTTGTGTTATTGTGTCACTTTGGTGTTTTGAGTTCAACAAAGTAAAGGTCATTTTCTCAATGGAGAGCATAGATAACGGCCTCATTTTCATACTTTTAATCAATGGTCTTAACCAACATGATGAAAATAAGAAATTCATTCATTCATTTTCTACACCTCTTATCCTCAGAGGGTTGGGGGGGGGGGGGGGGGGGGGCGGAGTCACTTATTATAAACCTAGACGATCAAACCTCCAACATACTCTCCTGATACCAGGTCACAAATCCTCCTGGACATCTGTTTACCCAGAGCACCCTGTGTGTCTGTGTGCGGTCACAGACTGTGTGTAAGAGTTCCTCCCCCTGTTGACAGAGGGCGGACATGGACCGGCTGCAGACTTACTCCGGAGGCATCTTGGAAGCGGAGAAGAAGATCGAGATGCTGACGTAAGTAAATCCGTGGTGGCGTCATCTTGTGTTTTAGTCGGTAAACGCTTAAAGATTCATTTCTTAAGGGCCAGTTTCCCCCCAACTGCTTCCTTTCTACCAAACCACACCCACTTTTTTTGCTGCGCTTTGGTCGTGGCGAGACGACACCTTTGATCCTCCTCGGCGGAGCTGCAGCGTTTCCAGTTTGATGGAAAGAAAATAGTCCCATTAATATTTTAATTAAATCTTTGGATTGTCTTCAGTCACTGGGTCATTATTTCTGCAACGAAACATTGATGATAAGGATTCGCGCTTTAGTTCCATATAGTCTCATCATGTTCAAGTGAAAAGCGACATCTCTAGTGCCGATATCCCCAAACATCTGCAGACTGGTTTAGAAATGAGAACGGCGTTTTCTTTCCCGCTCCCCGCTCAGGACCATCCCGCCGGAGCAGCAGGCCGAGGCCGACGAGCTGGCAGCCGCTCTCTCCGAGCTGCAGGCCACCAACATCCACGAGTACCAGGAAGTGGTAGGTGGTGATGAAACGTGTCCGTGAGTCTGTGTGTGCACGTGTACGTTACACTGTGAACCCACATCTCCTTTCAGGAGGCAAAGAACGAAAGCATCGCCGAGTGGAAAGCCAAAATCGCGGAGACGACCCAGAAACTGGTACGTGAACATCTGAGTCCATTCATCAAACGTGTTTGAACGAGAGCGGGTGGTACTTTGGCTCCAGCGTCCCAAAACCAGCTCAGAGGGAGAGAGAGAGAGAGAGAGTGATCAGAGGGACTGGATTGATAAGAGGCGTGTCCTGTTTGGGTGGTGTGCGTCAGGCCCAGGTGAAGGTGGACGTCTGCAGCCTGAAGGAAGACATCGGCAAACTGCGCTCTCAGATCGTGGAGTCTCCAGAGGAGCTGAAGGCTCAGATGGAGAAGATGAGGGAGAACGTCAAAAACATAAAGAACAACATCGTGAGTAGGAAAGAAAAACACGCTTGTCTCCAAACACCTGCTGTTTGTTCAAAATGTCGACTTCCTGTCTTTACTCCAGAAAGAGACGGACGAGCGCATGGTGGAGATACAGAACAGCGTGCAGAGTGTGACCCAGAATGAGGCTGAGATCCAGCACATGTACAACCTGCTGCAGGACCTGGAGAGCAGCATGAACAACACCAAGCAGCGGGTGGAGGAGGTACCGATCCCATCTGGTCCAACGTGAACAGGAACCAGCTGGATGCAGTTGTATTCTAAAAGATCTGCATATGGCAGAGCGAGGAGGACGACTACTGCACAGATGTTGCCAGGTTTAATGTAACCAGACTGTACAAGTCCAGTTGCACGCCGTGTTTCAGGACACAAAAGCTCGATGCGTTCTCATGTTAGCAGTACGGGCTGGTCGATGTGTGGTGGGAAAACACCGGAACCTTTTCTCTACAGATTGTCATCAGCATAGCTTCACTGTGTGTGTGTGTGTGTGTGTGTGCGTGTGCGTGTGTGTAGCACAAGGAGCTCACCGCTCAGTACGAGAAGAAGCAGAAGGAGCTGAGGAACCTGTGCGTGGAGGGGGGCCAGCTGAAGCGAGCGCTGGGCATGAAGCTGGACAAAGAGTCCAAGCAGAACATCCGCAGGCAGAAGAAGAGAGAGATGAAGGAGCAGCATGTTCAGGAAGTGCTGGGGTATGTTTCCCATGGCAACGCCCCACACCGGTCCTTCTGCAGCATCACGGAGGCTTTATCTTTACCTGAGACCCGTGCGGACCCAGATGTACCGAATAGTAGGACTACATGAATGTATTCTGGGTTGATCCTCCTAGTCGGCGGTCTGTGATAACGTTCCGCTGTGAATAACTGCAGGAAACATGGCAGCACCGCTGACACACTTTTAGTAAGCTCTGCTCTGACCTGATACATTCAGGCTCCCCTCATCCTGTGAAGTTAAAAAGTTGTATCTTGTCGATACGGATCGTCAATGAGCTGTAATCAGTACCTGATCGAGGATCTCCGTATTTATTATTATCTGGCTCTGATCCAATTCGGGAGCTTTATGCTGCGTTGCTCCTCTAGAATTCACACAGCAGCCAATGTGGTGACTGCAGATATCCCACAATCCCGTGTGTGTGTGTGAAACTGAAAGCCTTGACTAACCGCCGCGGCGCCGGTTCTCCAGGCAGTGCAACCAGATCCACCAGAAGCGCGAGGAGATGGCAGAACGCATCCAGGAGATCTCTGGAGAGACGCAGCAGCTCAAGGCCAAGATGCAGAGCCTGAGGGACGTGTGCAGCAAGGAGACAGCCAAAGCTCAGGTGTGTGTGTGTGTGCGTGCATGTGTGTCGCTTGGATTGACTCTACCAACAGCGCTTTGAGACCGACCCCCCTCCTTGTGTTCAGGCCCTGTACGACACGCTGACGGCCTCCATGGACGAGCTGCACCGGAGGATCCAGACACACATCGTGGACCTGAAGCAAGACGTCTCCCAGATGTCCCGACTTTTAAACCCACCCTTTGACCTTTGACTTCTCTACTTACTCTTCCAACCTTTTGTTGCCTTTCTAACCGTCACTATTTAAAATGTTTCATATACAGTTGTGTACCAGATAATAAATTTGAACAAAATAAACTGTGTTAGTGTACTTCGTGGCCAGGGGGCGTAAAGTTAGGATTATATTTTGATGTACCGTTATACTCTTAACCGTTAGTATAATAAGTGCAGAAAAGAGATCTATACCCTTTTCATTTTAATCTTACCAACTGGTGCCAACTTTTTTCAGTTGGTTCCCAAAGACTTCATGTTATTCTTTTACTCTGTTTCAACTGGTTATTTTTAAAAGTTCCGCTCTCCTTGATTCTGTGAGATGCATGTACTGGTAAAATATGTTATAACATTGTCTTGTGCTAAAGCCGTGTCTCAAGTGTCCTGTATTTGACCCTGACGTGCAAAGAGCAGCATGATACAGAATGTTGGTTTGCAGCTGTGCCCTGAGAAGGGAGGACGGTCGACTCGAGCTCATAGACGCTGCAAAACAAAGGACTTCTGTTCGTGGCCTTGGTTCATATCTTATTTGGTGCGAAAGGTCTCGGATCCACGTTTTTACTTTATGTCAATTAATTGTGATTTGCACCGGTCACTGAGGAGGATCTTGTGTGTGTGTGTGTGTGTGTGCTACCCTCAGCTTCACCTGGGTTCTTATCTCAACCTGATTTGCAGCTTCTCGTAACTGGCACGGAGGATGGTCTTCATGTGTATAAAAACTCAGCGTTTTTACTGCTCGGGGACGCCATTACACCCAACGCTGAGATACGTGCTCGTGTATTCAACCTCCTGCTTGCAAGCAATAGTTAGAGCCAGATATCTGCAGAGAATTGTTCATGTAATCTTTTTCTCTTCTAAATAAATGTTAACTTTTTGACTTTAATTGATCAACGTGTTGCGATCCTTCTCATCGATCCTTCTCAACTCGGGGGGATCGGAGATCCTGACAATTCCCCAAAAGTTACTATGACATAAGTCCTCGTTTGCATATTTAAACAATTCAGAAAACACGTAGAATGTCGAAAATATTGTAAGTAATTAACCGGGTGGGTTTGATAGTGATAACTATTTGATTTTGCCATATTCACCTTGTAGTGTTTTTAAAGTATTATTTTACTAAACATCTGCTCGAGAGTTTATCCTTTTTACAGTTCAATTCCTCTATATTCTGGAGGTTTTTACTGGGTTTACAATTCATTTCAGATCCCGATTCATTCAACATTTAAACTTTATTCCTGTATGCAAATCTATGACAGATTTGATAAGATGCTGCTGCGCATTCACATTACATTTCAGCACGCCTGCATGAACAGAATCCCCGTCTAATAGCCGCCATCGAAACAGAAACATCAAATCTAATGTTATTGCGTCTTTAACAACCAATGAATGACTTTGTGGTGAACATGTGATCGAACGACATGTTTTGTTCTCCCCACAAAGCGTATCTTATATTTGAGCCAAACTAGTGTTGCTGTGATGAGCTCATTTTGCACGCCGCGTCCCTGTTGCGCGTGTTCGGGCCCCTTCTGAGGCCCCCGCCTCCTCCGCTTTAGGGCGCGGCGCGTCGGGACCTCTTGAGGGCGGCCAGCCGAGCCGTGTGCTCTTTGACCTGCGCCCTCGCCGCGCACAGCTCCTTGCGCAGCTCGTTGATTTCAGCGATCAGAGTCCCTTTCTCCTGCAATCGCACGGCGCCGGGGAGGCAGGAAGTGGATGAGACGCAAGGTGCTTGCAATGAGTCCGATAAGAATCACAGGCTGTGGGTCGTACCTTCGTGATCTTCTCGTAGGCCTTCTCGTGCTCCTCAGAGGATCTGGCTAGCTTGCTCTTCAGCTTGTTGACGGCCTTCTCCTGGTACTCGCGCTGGAGGCGGAGCGTCTTCTGGACGTCTTCATCCACGCTGCTTTTCATCCCCTTGGAAACACACACACACACGCACACGGTTTGCGCTGCCGCGCCCCCTTTTCAATGGGACTGGAATTATTCCAGGCCTCTGTTTGTTGGCTTGAAGAACCTCGGGTGAAGGTTCCACGCGCTCACCCCGTCGCCCGGCGCCACGTAGCGGGCGTGGATCGCCAGCACGCTCTCCTTCAGGCGGCTCGGCTCCTGGAGGAAGCCCACGCAGCTCTGGAGCTCCGAGCGGAGCCGCTGAAGATGCGTCTCCAGGTCCTTCGCCTGCTCACGGAAGGTTCGGCATACTGTTTGTCTTTGTCTTACAGAGAAGCTAGTGAGGTGTAGGATCTAAGCTTTTAAGGAAAGGGGGGTGGCGAGATACTGACCATATCCACTCTGTCAGACTTTGGACTTGTTAAACCTCCAGGCTTAGAAAGAGGAAACAGCTCTATCCGTTCAGCGCAATTATTCTACACGTCTGTTCAATAAATGCTTAAAGACGTTTGAGAATTTCAACATGGCCGTTATTTAGATAGAAAGACGACTTTCCCTCACAGGAAGTCCGCTCCTCTGCTTTGTGCTGCCAGGGCTTCTACTGCAGGGGCAGATGTTCATGGGCACATGATGGGAAAGCAGCGTGTGTGTGTGTGTGTGTGTGTGTGTCAGTCATCGCGTCTCACCTTCAGCCTCCCCTCGTGCACCTCCTTATCTCTTGTCTTCAGTTTGAGCCCCAGGTCGGAGACACTGAGCCTCAGCTGAGCGTTTGTCTTGCCGATGCTCACCAGCTCCACCTCCAGCTGCCAGACAGGGAGACAGCTACGTCAGCGCCATGGGCTACGTCAGAGCGCGCGGCCCCCGCTGGTTAACTCAACACTCAAGTCCCTCCCACACGTGACCCTAGCAGCGGTTAGCATGCTCAGCTACAGCCAAGCAAGGTCCATAGCTTCCCAGCAGGGAATACGGTGAACGGGACTATGACAGGGACACTAGATGGGGGTCTTTACTTCTACCGGGACCGGGTTGCAGGAGGTCTGTTCAGACCACAATAAAGAGCAGCAGACTGCAGGAGAGAGGTGATACACAACAGTTTGTGATGGAACAGTGTTTCCCCTGCGTCCATTCTACAGCGTTAATGTCTTCTGCTGTTGTGTTTCACCGCACATGCACACACACACACACACACCCGATGGATGTGCTTCTTCTTCTCGTTGATGTCATCTTGTTGAGGCTCAGTTTGCTCCTTCAGCTCACTCAACTGGGAATCGAGAACAAAATTAAACTTTTCCAGCTCCTGGTTCTTCTGCTTCAGGCTGAAGATGGTCTGGTCCTGCGTGTGGAAATGTTAGATTTAGTGCAAGAAATGATTTTTTTTATTTATATGTTGACTAATCCAAACATTTAGGTTTTGCTTTTTTATCTCCACATCAGTAAATCACAGAACGTTTGACTCCAGAAGAACCCATGGGGCCGTGTGTAATGAGCAGCCGGTCATCATTCCTTTAATCGTGATCTTTGAATCCACCTTGTCGTTGCTGGTCTGTTCGTGTCCAGAGATCTGCCGCTTCAGGTCCTCGATGTCGCACTCCAGGGAGCGGATCAGCCCCAGCAGCTTCTGCCGCTCCTGCTTCAGCTTGTTTACATCCGAGCTCCTGTCATCCATCTGTCGCTGCAGACTGTGGAACTAGGATCGCCGCATCGTCCGCCACAAGGCGAGAAGAAAAGCAGATTTAATGGGAGCGGGATGGAGGGGAAAGGTGCAACAGGAGCCGCGGCCACCTTTTGTGTCACCAGATCGGTTTCTCTTCTCAGATTGGTGTTGGTCTCCTTCTCGCCGTGCAGTTTCTTCTCAAAGTTGATCTGCGCGTCGTGGCTCCTCCTCGCCTCATCCTCCTCCACTTGCCTCAGGAACTCTTTGAACTCGCGGGCCTGCTGCTGGGATTCCTCCTGACGCTGCACAAAAGGAACGCAGGAGAAAACCAGTGTGAAGGCACAGGAGCGCGGCCGTGTCTCCCCCCCAGAGGCCCCTCCAGCTGTGCTGCTCCTTCCGACCGACCTGCAGCAGCAGCTGGGTCTTCTCCTGCAGCTTGGCCTCGGAGAGCTGCGTCAGCTCCTCGAGGGACCGGCTTGTGCTCTCCTCTGCCGCCCTCAGCCGCTCCTCGTAGTCCTCCTGCATCCTTCGGTGCTCACGCTGAAGGTCCTGGTACCTCTCGTGCTCCACAATCAGCTTCTGGCTGCAGGAGAACCCTGTGTGAGGGACAGACAGGGGGGATCCTTGTAGACACCAGGCTCCTCGCGGCCTCCTGCGCGTTGCTGACGCCGATCCGCTCCACTTCTTACCCAAATCCTTCAGCTCCTCCGCGTGTTTCACGGCGGCCTCTGAGGAACTCTCCTGGTGCTCTCGGGCATGCTTTTCCATCTCGGCCTTCGTGGCCTATAGATACAGACGATATGGTGAAAGGACAATGAAGGCTTTTTTAAAAGATGGGGTAGGGCCTTCATGGCACAATGTATATTATTCTGTATTATACTGTAATCTGTTATCAGCGCTATCTATGTGTCCCACAGGAGGAGACTTCGGCCAATCACAGGTCATTTCAGCAAATGCCCGTGCACGTCCCACAAGATGGTGAAAGCCTGATTAAACTGCGGAATCTCCCAGTTGAGTTAAAGTCGCTATTGCAGCATTAGCACACGTCTACAATTAGCAGAAAGCTAAACTATTGGCAACATTTTCTGCCTTAAACACTTTGCCGATGTGTTTGCATGAACCCGGACAGGAAGTAAGGTTATCGGATGGCGTTTGAAATGAATGAGTGGTACTCGTACAGCATACAGGTTGTATTTTCAAGTTCTGGAGGATTTTATTTTCCTTTTTCCAGAACACTTGCCTATCCAGTTTTAAGTTAATACAATTGAGACTAGAGGGAGGTAAGCTTCATCGGCTTTGGCTTCCATGATGATTTAAAAACATGCCATTTGAAAGTAATGGAGTAATTAGTGTACTTTGGCCCGTCACTCCCCCTGTATTGAGTAGATTGGAAGTGGAGCAGACCTGTTGCATTGTCTCCAGAGATTCTATTTGCTGGGTAAACGTCTCAGAAAGCTCCTTCATCTTCTCATTGTAGTTCATGTCCTTCAGGCGGAGCTGGTACTCGTTCTCCATCTGCAGCTCCTCCAGACGCATCTTTAGCTCCAGCATGTTCTGCGCCTGCAACACAGACCGACCGCCAACGTTAACTTGATTCCGTGTGGGCGATGTCCCCATATGTTACTAGCCTCTTGCTAAGGGAGTCACTTAGCAAGGTCAATAAAGACAAACTGTATACATTTTCTGCTAAGTACCTCACACCAATACTGTGTTTCTTATCTCATGTTAACGTACTGTCACCTCAGCATGTTTAATAAGAACTGCACACACACACACACACACACACACACACACACACACACACACACACACACACACACACACACACACACACACACACACACTTACCTTCTCCTCCAGGTCTGACTTGGTGACAAGGATCTCCTCAGTGTGGATGATCTGCCTGTGGCTCTTCAGGCCTCGGCCCTCCTTGTCGATGAGCTTCCACATCAACAGGCAGCCGTCCTCCGACACCGAGAGCAGGAACTGGTCATCGGACGTCATCACCATCTGACGAAACGCGAGGTCGTCGGTCAGTAGGACGGACTTGTCGTTGTATGTCGGACAAAGGTTTGACCTGCTCGAAATATTCCAGTGCTTAACTTACAAAAAGGTGAAATCGGTATCAGCTAATGTGGATATGAGAGAATTTGCTCTTCTGTTCATCACCTCATTATATATTATATATATATACATACATTATATTATATTATAGATATAAAATTCATTTAAATAAATACATTTAAGAAATATATAAAAATAAAATAAGTGTCAGCTTTAATTAATTTATGCCAATGGCATATATATGTATATATATATATATATATATATATATATACACACACATACACCCAGCTTGATACGTCTTTGCTTAGTGTGTGCAACATGTGGAGCAACCTTAGTGACGGGCTCACAGTGAGCCTGGTACACGGTCCATTCCTTCTGAATAGGTAGCGGGTATTTAACTGCTCTGATGGTCCCACTAGAAGTGCCGGTGAAGACGACCCTGCCAGAGTGAGACACCGTCACCGCGGTGTGAGCTACTTCATCGGCCGGAACCTCCCTCAGGACCTGTGGGGCCCATGAAATACTCCGTATTCGGGAAAACGGTAATGGATTCATTATCTAAAGAGTAAATATTTGATACTAAGAGCAGAGAAATGTGAAGAAGGCCTTTATCTGAACTAATACTCCTTGTTCCTTCCTGCTTTATAGCAACTATGCTGCAGCATTGTTGGCAAAAGATATAAAACGGTAAAAAAAATTCAAAGGTCTGAGACCGATTTGAGCCATGTCTCATACGGTTTCTTAAGGCTTCCTCCCACATGAACAATGCAACAATGGATGGAACCTCCAAAGCGCTGCTCCGGCTCACCTGACAGTCCTGGATCTCCTTCAGTGTGCGGTCCGATCCCACGGCCAAGATGCTCTTGCAGTCCGAGGAGAAGGCGACGTCTGTGTAGCTGCAGGACTTGAGGACGCTCTCAGACTCGCGCTTGCCCGTCTGTGTGTTCCACTCATACACGCCGCCGTCCATCCCGCAGGACACCAGCCGGCTGTCGTCCCGGCTCCATTCAACGGCTCGCACCTGCAAAGGAGCACGGAGGCGGTTGGAGAGGCGGAGAACTGCGCAGAAGAATCCCTCCACGTGTCAAACGGAAGACTGATTGGCGACTGATAGTGCCCGGAACATGTCGGTGGCTGCTAGGCTAAGCTAGCTGCAGAGGACCACCACCGTGTCCCTAAAAGACAGTGGTTTGGAAAACGTCCTGGCTGAATGTGGAGATTGTTGAGGACAGCAGGAAGAGGTGCTAGTTCATCATGTTCCACCTCCGAGATAATCACGTGTGTGGAGTTTGTTTAAAAAAAAATACAATTAAACAACAGTGTATAAAGTACACAGTTTCTAAAGTGATTACTCATTAATTTATGGGATTTAGTCTTTAGAAGAAAAACTTTTAATCATAATTAATTTAGAATAATACATTTCAAAATTTGAGAATTAGTACATTTTTAATGTACTAATTATTGTACTAATTATTATATATAATTAATTATAATTATATAATTTAAAAAAATATAATAATTAAAAATAAAAAAAAATAAAAAAATAATACTAATATATATATATATATATATATATATATAATCAAATATTATAAATAGGTTAAATAATAATACTTTTTTTGTCCTTAGCTGCTATTTCCATTTCTTTGTAAGTACATTGATGGGGATCCATTTTGACAATAAAGATGCGTGTGACCCTGAACTCACCTTCCCATTGTGGCCCTTCAGACTGAGGACGTTCTCAAAAGAGGTGACGGAGTAGATGTGGATGACGTTTCCATTGACGGCTGCAAACAGGTGGCCGCCGTGGCTGAAGGCACACTGAGCGGCAGAGAGGGACAGAGATGAAGTGAAGCGGTGAAGAGGTGGGCGGAGCTTCACGTGGCTGCCCCCTGACCCGCGCGTAACCGACCTCTCTGCAGCCGTGCACGCTGAACTCCTTGATGGCGCGAATGTCGTCAATGAGCAGGTTCATCAGCCTGAGTTTGTCTGAAAAGCCCACCAGGATGAAGAGGCCAGTGGGATGCAGAGCCACGCTGTGCGCCTCCTCCTGGAACTCCTTGTACAGCTCCAGCAACCTTAGGGACGACACCCAGGGAGACGTGGTTCCAGAGGTCCACGTCTTTTATCTCATCCGTGCAATGAGAGTCAAAACCTGGACTCATTTTCTCATTCTAATTCAACGCGAAAGTGTGTCGGAACTTTTGACTTATTGCTGTATGAGCACAACTCTAAAGTAAAAGATGCCAACAACAGAGATGAAGTAAATCCACAGCGGCTCATGCGAATTAGTCTCTTACTTTGTTTCGTAGTTCCAGATGCGCACTGAGTGGTCCAGAGAGCTGGTGGCCACCAGGGGCTTTCTGATGCACACCGACACACCGGTGATGGACTTAGAGTGGAAGGACTGCGACAGGAACTCAAAATGTTCCTCCTGACGGGTAGAGCAAGGAAAACAAAGCCAAGCAGAGGATCCAAAGTCAAGGGGGAAGTTGCTTTGACGTGTAAAACGTGGAGGAGTGAATGTGCCGTGGAAGCAATGGAAGGGGGACATCGGATAAACTGGTATATGAATATATACATAAAGCCCTAGAGCGGTCGCAGCGGTTTACGTTTTGAAATGCTTGGCATGACAATGCTGACATGCATTAAAATGCACGCTTAACGCGGTGCTCTCGTGGCAATGAATGAAGAAGGCGCCAGTGGCGGTGCAGGCGGAGCGGACGTTACCCGGTTGATGTCCGCGGGCGAGAGGCTGAAGCTGTACAGCTGTCCTCTGTCCGTGCTGACGGCCAGAGTCTGCTCTGCTGGACTCATGCACATGGTGTGGACCTCCTGGCGCGGAGCCGGACTCTGCTCGTTGCAGTGTGGGTCTGCTGGGATCTGAGAACACACCGACAGGTCATGTGAGGACTGTGAGTCTACGGTAACCGGGGGCGATGAACACTCACCCGGATCTCCCTGCTTCTTCTGTAACCGTCCTCCTTATTCCTTTCAAAGAGACAGACGGTGCCGGGACCCAAGGAGCATGCAAAGCCCCTGGAGTGGGACAGAATGGCTGTGATGCGGGGACCTTCACCCCCTTTGATGTCTCCGATCTTCTTCATCTCCACTTGCCTGTGCAGTGAATTAAATGATTCAATTATGGAATAAAAATGAGGGTATTCAGCAAAAACAAGCAGATCAGTTTATAAGGAGGCACCAAAACTTTACTGAAACATTGGTTCGAGTGAAGGAACCAAGGACACCAGCAGGTAGTCGGCCCCATTATGATCAGTCAAGTTAAATATAGTACTAATGTTTATAATCCAATCTGTTTAATGATGTTTAAAGAGCTCCGTGATCTCCCGACCCGTCACACTGCCCCTGTGGAGCCACGTGGATCTCTCTTCGGAGGTTCCCCGACTCGAACACCAGCAGCCTGCCTCCGTCCGTCCCCGCGATCACCCGCTCCTCCGTCACCCAGGCGTGGCACAGGAAGTTGACGGACTCCACCTTCGGCGCGGCGCTCTGCTTCAGGGTTCCGTCCGAGTAGCGCAGCAGCTTCAGCACCCCGCCGCCGCTGACGCATATCTGCGTGTTGTTGTGAGGGCTGAAGCTGACCTGACGTCACGTGAAAACACAAACCACGGGGTCAGAGCGCGCGCGCCTGCGAGACGCGCACCAGCTGGGGAGGGAGGGAGGGAGGGAGGGGGGCGGCGCCGGGTCACTCACCTGGGTGACGTAGGCGTTCGCGGTGCCGGTCCTCGCTGTTGCCAGGACTTTCTGCTTTTCCCAAAGCCAGAAGATCAGGGTCCCGTCCGGACCCCCCGTTTGGCCTATCAGGTACTTGGAGTCGGGCGAGAAGGCCATGCACGGGAACTGCTGCGCGTGCACGTCTCCCGCGGTCAGCACTTTCCTCTTCCGGCCCTGCTCGTGCTGCAGGTCGAACACGGTGATGGTCGCCCTCTGGCCGCGCTCCTCGGACACCGCCAGGTAGCGCCTGTTGGCGCTGATGGCCAGGGCGCGCATGCGCAGGCTGTCCTGCGAGGCTAGGTGTGTGTGTGGGGGGGGACAAACGCAGGTAACCGTGACGCAACCGAAACAGGTGAACGGGAAATGACACCGCGTTAACGTTTCCGAAGCCTCACCTGGAATGAACCGCTGACTCCTCTGGGCGGTGTCGTAGCACACGCAGCTGTTCCCGCTGGGGAAAACCACCGTTTGCTCGTCGAAGAAACACAAGTTGTTGCGCACACCTGTCCGCAGGCCGCAGGCGAAGTGAGGCTGCGCGACGACGGACGCCATTTCTCCCCGTTTGTTTTCAAAGTGAAATGATTGACGTCTACCGACCGCACGAGCTGCGCTCTTTTGAGAGGCCGAAAGAGGCACACGCGACTGATGAAAACCCGCCGGACGCTAACGGGTGTGATGTGAGTCCCGTCGCTAAGCAACGGAGTGTCTCCCGCGAGAAGATGAAAACGCCTTTAAAGAGCCCGCTCTTCTTCACCGGCCCACTTCTCTCCATCCACCGTGTCAGCTGCTGTAATGTTCCCACCTGTGTTTCTTTATCTTTACCTGGACATCATACCTCACATTGCCTGGGAAACTGCTCTTTTTCTTCTGGCCAGTTTCTGCGTCTTTCTTCATCACGTCTCGCGGGATTTCAGTCGGTTGCCATGCGACACAACTCAACAGCATGAGCATTGTGGTGTGATGTAAGGTCATTTACAGTTTTGAGTCACTTGTCTACTTTACTCAAGCATTAGCATATACATATATCTATATTGCTATATATAGCCCAATATCTTATTACACTGATACTTCATACTTGTATTCCAGGCCTGTATTAAACATTCATTCATCATGAATCATGCTAAATAATTGTATAAAATATAAGCATGGTCATAGATTACTGCCCAACAGTAAATCATTTTGAAATAGGCAATACAGCAGAAAATCCACTGGTTGAAATGTATATTAACAGAATTTGTGTTGAGTTCTTCTAGAGCCTGCTACATTTAGATACATATTTATACAATATAAAATAAATCCCAACAATCCAGATTGCAAACGTTAAAGGCTTTAATGGCATGTTTCAATAACACAAGTGCGTGTGTTTTCGCATTAGAGGACGACATTTGACATGTTTCATGTATCAGGATGAGCTGAATGTCTTAAAGAAAAAGGCAGTAGTCAGTATCCGTGGAGAGAAGGGCTCGTTGCATGTTCGTTTCCCCAACACATTTGTACATTTGTTTGTCTGTCATCATCCCCACAAACCAGCATTCCAGTATTATTACTATTGTTTCTTACTGCAATGTTATCAAATTAACTACACCCCATTTAGAAGTTCTGACGGCGCCTGATAGAAACCCAACTAATTATGCATTTAGGAAACCAGTATCGCCTCTGATACAAAAAAGGTACAACTTCAGCACCAGGACGTTGACCTTGTGGGCCAGTCAAACCAGCTGACACTTGTTTTACAGTATGAGGTGAAAAGTAAAGTTTTCAAAGGTCACTATTTACATTTGGATTGGTCCTGTTCACATGACGCATGCAGCTCTGAGCGATGAGTACCTGAACGCAACGTCACACATTACGGAGACATCGAGAGGGTCGCAGATCACGCACCAACGATGAAATATGAAAAACTCATTCTGACACGTCCATTATCTCAGTCTGATATGAATTGTATTCTCTGTTAAACTTCAGACTGAAGAGCAGCTGGAAAAAAATAGCCGGAATTATTTTGTCTAAGTTATTATACATTATTTTTTTTATCTCTGGAAAGTTTAAGCAGGTTTAAATTGACTTAAGGTACATTTATTGTGTTAGCAAGTCAGCAAGAAATAAAATGTGAATAATCCTTGCAAGACTTTTTTTCACCTATAATTAAGTAATTAGTAAAGTAACTATTTGGATTGTTTTTTAAAAAGGGCTTCCGCATAAAGAGAGCAAGGTCTACGTTAATATGTAATAATAATACAATACAAGTTCTAGATTGATATTCCCTGATAGATAGTAGGGTCTGAGTACGTGAGCTACAATATAATACACTATGCACAGGAGTCCTCTGCAGCGGCTGTGGGAGCGCCGTTGGCCCGGCAGGAGGCGCCCTTGATCAGCACGAGATGAAGAGGGCGTTCCCCGACCGCTGACTCGGCCCCAAAGCCCCCCCGGTGGACAGGACCTCACAGGCGGCCAGTTCGTGGTAGAGAGCGTTCAGCACCTCCACGATGTGGGCTTTGCCTGCGCGGAAAAAACAAAACGCAGCAGATGTGACCGCTGAGGGAACCGCCGCCGCCGCCGCCGGGGAGCGTAGTTCCGCTAATTCATTATGGCCCTTCACAGGCCACAGTGGGGCTTTTCATTGGGTGTGCGTGCTCCACTAACCGTGCTGCGGGTCGCTGCAGGACCCCAAAGTGCTGAGCAAGAGTTTCCCGAGGGACCGCCGCGAGACGTTCTGAGAGAGAGAGAGAGAGAGTCAGTCTCAAATGAACGGTGCTGGTGTACGATGTCTTTATTCGCGGCGGGTGTCTTTCTCTCTGTCGGCGTGTTTCACTGTGCTAAGAGATCCAAACAGTACATCGGGGCCATTAAATGGTGTAAAATAACAACTACATGTTGCCACCGGTAGCTTGGACCCAACAACCCAGTGGTGTCCGATGGACCTTGCGTGCCGACGGGACTGACCAGGTCCCTGAGCTGCTGCAGCAGCTGCAGGATGTCCATCAGCTTCTCCTCCACCAGCGACAGACGAACCCTCTCCGTCTCCAGCATCCGCAGCTCCACCTGGAGCAGCTCAGTCTCCTCCGCCTTCTGCTGGAGCTCCTGCACCAGAGAGTCCTTCATCTGGAAGACCGGAGACACACAGGTTCGTGTTCATGTTAATCGTCTTTTTATTGATTTGTTTTTGATGAATTCATCTTTCTTTTTTCATTTTTTTCATGTTGCACATTTCGAGGGCCGCTCAACTATGAAAATGGTTTCGGACCAGTTACCTGTCGATTAAATAATGGAAGCATTGGCTCATCGTCTTTGAACAGCTAATCCCTGCTGCGTTTTATCAATTCATCCTCATTTTTTCAGTTGATGAGAAAAGGTATTTTTTAAAGGACTAATGCTATTAACACGAGATATATTCTCAAGATTGACATCATTTGACAAACCAGGGCAGCTGGATGTGTCATAAGGGTACGTTATTGCCTTGTGGGCCTTATTAAAACCACATAAACACACCCAATGTAAATGTTTGTCAGATGGGGGGCTGGAGTGAGTCTTTTAGCCCACATTGTACCGTCCGTCTGTCTGGAAAATCCCTGCAGCGCACCTTTACGTCTCGGGCATATCGAAGGACAAAGGTCTCGCCCCACACATCCTGCGCATAAACAAAGCCTCACAGTCGGGACTTTGTTTGGCTTTAACTTTTCCTCTCGGAGCGCTTAGAGGTTCTGGGAACACGTCACATCACGGCTCCCCTTCAGCCTTCCTGTGTTGTGAAAACACTGCTCGACTGTAAAGGGACAGCTTTAATTGATCATATTCTTGCGGGACAAAGGGGGAGTGTTTCCGCGGTCGACAGCTGCAAACACACCCGCCCACACACACACACACACACACACGCACACACACTGGAGGCTCTGGTGCTGGAGGTTTGATTAGGTGTAAGCTGCAGGATCGTGCCACTGGCTGTGGTTCGGCCTTTGAAGCCCTCCGCTTCCATAACAACCTTCACCAGTCCTCTCTAATCCAGTGACCCCCCCCCGTGTGCGCTCGTCCTGAGAGAACACACTCACATGACGGGGGTCGGAGGTGAGCGGCCCGTACCTGGTCCATGTCCATCTCCGCCTGGCTCTCCTTCGCCTCCAGGTGCTTATGCAGCACGGTCACCCTCTCCAGGAGCTCCAGCACGGCGCTGCAGCTCTCCTCGCTCCTCCAGCTGCCGTAACTGGACATCCGCTTCTTCAGCGCCTCGTCGTGGCACCTGATGAGAGGAGCGACCAGTGCATTTTACGCTCAACGCCAAGAGTGTAAATGTAAAGGAGTTGTGGTCAGCAGGTTTAGTCCGGAAACGTTCGTCTTTAAATATTGCTGAGCGAGCTTCCCGTGCCGTGGACGGCACGCCGTCTGCCTCTAGCTCGCTGAAAGACGCTTTGAGATGTCAGCGATGTCATCAGGCGGTGCTACCTTTCCCCGCAGCGGGACAGCCTGGTCAGGATCCTCTTCACCTCGTCCACCTGCCGCTGCTGGTCCTCGGTCCACTTGTCGTCCTCCTCGTCAGACGCCGCCTGGCCCTCCACCGAACGAAACAGCTGCTCGTCCACTAGACGCCACAACACACCGCCATTGTCGTCACTATCATCACAGACGGGGGGGACTCGAGCTGAGCATCGGTTAGTCGACGGAAATGAACCGCGGGCCGCTTTGATTGGCTGTTTTCAGCCCAAAACGCAATGGTTCCAACCGGCGAGAGGATGAAAAACAAGCGATAAGATCTCACACGGGCTTCGGAGAATTGTTACTTTTGACATTTTGACTATTTTGTGACGTTTACAGGGGGATTGCCTGCTTATGGAGACTTTCCTTTACCATGTAGCGATAGAAAAGCACTTTGTGAGCCCCGTTGGGGACGTCTGTAAACATCTTACTTTTGTCCGGCGTAGTCATGGCGCGCCCCGTCGGAGAACACCGGTCGTGTTGGGAGTCCGACCTGCTGCCGGCGCCCGGCTGCTGCTGCTCCACCCCCGTGCCGCTCGGGGGTTGTAGTTTCGACACCTCCAACCTGAAAGAGGAGCACGGCGAGGTTCAGTGCAGCGTTCCCAACTGGCGAGAGCCGCAGGGGCCCGGCGGCTCTCGCTCCGGTTCGCACGGGGAGAAATCAAAGAGAACATATCTAGTAACACAAGGCGGCGTGTTTTAGGCCACATCTACAACCGCCATGATAATTTCATAGGGGCCTGTGATGTCGTAGGCCAAATCTGGGTGGGGTAATTGAAGCCAGACATTGCATCTTTGAGGCGTTCTTACAGTAAAAGTGGGTCAGTGGTAGAATGGCGCCGTTGCTCTGTTGCTGTGCAGGAGTTTGCTCGCAAGATGTGAAGTGAGCGCACACAAGCTGAAGCCGGCTGGAACAAAAGACTTTTTTTTTTCAATCTACAGACGGATACTCTTTTGTTCTGCAGGGCATGTTTTCTCCCGACGGTCAAAAAGCACAAACGTTTGTCACTTAAAAAAAACAGAAAGAAAGACGGAGAACGTCTCTGTAAGGGTTTGAGTTTTCAAGGTTTCGCCTGCCGTCTGCTCTTTTGTGTTGGGGGGGAAATCCGATAGGGGGCCTTCGTAAATCACAGAATAAGTGTTTCCAGATGATGATGTCTTGCCGGGAAAAAAAAGAGAAAAGAGGTTTTTTTTTTTTTTCAACAGCCTGACTGAGAAAAGTCCCAGCGCATGCTTATACCCTGTTGGCACGAGGCAGACTGTACGCCGTAAAACATATCCTTGCGCTCTGCATCTGTGTACTGCTTTTGGGTTTCTTTGCACAAAAAGCGGGTGTGAAAAACGAGTGACTTCACTGAAGGTAAATAGTCGTTGCACGAGTTCAGGCATCAATCAGAAGAGTCGTGTTTAAGTTAGCGGGGGCCACGGTGGGAGGAAAAGGAGCAGAGGGGGGGGGGGGGAGGTTCACAAGCGGCGGCAGCTGCAGCCGGACGGACATGGAGATGGTGCACGGACGGGAGAACGTGCACACAAAGCTTTGCTGGTTGCCGTGGAGACACTCTGACTGGAATGGGGAGCCTTTTCAAACGCGGGGCTCTGGCGTGACTAATTGCACTTTGATTGACGGCGGTCGGCGGGAGACTGCCGCCGGCGTCCGGTGAGCACTGTAGCGGGGACTTGAGAGGTGAACAAAGATGCAGAAGTAACACTCGCAAACTGTTACATGAAACGAGGTCTGATTTACTTCTGACTGCCTCAGATTCAGGCCACCTGACGGTGATCGGGCGGAGCATGAGCGCAGACACCTGGACGTGGTCCAGGCAGACCTCCTGGAGGAGGATCCAAATGCGGGGCGCAGCTGTCAGAGACCGAATTCTGATGTATTTTCATAAGCACATTGCATACGACGTTGCACATCTCACCGACGATGTTTAACATTTTCCACAACTCGTAAGATATCAAAAATTGGACTTGTGCCAACTAAGTAGTATGATTGTACTGTGATGAAACAGTGGCGACATCATCGCTGGTAGTGATGATGCAATCTACGCATTAGCTGCACCAATCCACCAGTTAAAATACAAGGTGAGAAGTTACTCATCGTGAATGCGTCTCAGAATTACAGCCACATCTCCAGGTTGCATCGACTGCATTCTTATCGGTCACATTGCTGCCATCATGAACCCACATTGCTGACTGTGCTTCTTCCCTGGAGTCGGTTTGCTTTCCTGCCCGTATATCTGATGGTGGTTGTATCCGCCGTTATAACTTTAAAAACAATCAACACATTTTGTTGCTTGCTTTTCGTCTCATTTAAAATACAAAACGTTTCCTGAGCCAGGCAGACAATTAAGGGAAAACTTGCGGTGTTCATACTTAGTTTGAGGAAGTAGTGGAGCAAACGGAAAAATCATTTGAACGCTTCCTGGAGAGTCTGTATTAAATGCTTCTTTTGGCTCATCTGAAGACATTAATATGAGACTAGAAATGATTCTGAACACCACATTCAGAATGGATACGTATTAAGAGTTCAAGAAAGAAAACACATGTGACTAAATAGTAACTTATCCTTCACTGTGAAGGAAAAATACGTGTTATCATTCCTACATTATTACAATACTAATCTCAGCACAGAGAACATTACAGAGCGGTAAAATAAATGTACAGTACTAAACCAACGTTTGGACGAACTGTTTCACTGAATCCAATGAGAAAATGCGTCCAAGCTTTTGGCCTGTGGGGGGGCGAGAGGGCAGTCCAGATGTTTGTTCTTACAGCCGGGACACCCAGAGTCCTCCCTGTGTTTATCGCAGCGCGCCGCTGAAGTGAACTCTCCGTTAACACACCGCTCCCCCGTCCCACCGCGTCTGCTCCCCCCGCCTCCCCCCTCGAGCAGTTTCCCATTTCAGGTGTCATCGGTCAATGGCGGTCTCCTCCCTGTACCTGAGCTTGACCTTCTCGGCTCATCGGGGGCCCCCGGGGGGTCGGGTTTGCTCGAGCTGACGGATTAATCAAGTCCCCTTGGGTCACGCAGTAACAACGAGGGCGCTTTTCCGGGACACGAATGAAGCAGCTTTAGGGGTGTGGCGATTATTCAGCTCTAGCTGGGGACGACTGGGTAACATTTACACCCATTGTAACCATTTACCCCCACCCCCCCACCCCCCCAAAGCCAAATAATTGAGCGTGGGTGGCACGAGTTTCATAGGATATTTTATATGCGATGCATTTCTACTGATGTCAGCACACCTCCAAACCAGAGGGATGGTGGGCAGCGCCTCAAATAGGAAAACGAGCCCCTTTCTTGGCCAAGTGGTGTTTTTCAAGGCTGGTCTCTCTGAACAACAGAAGAGGCTGCAGAAGGCTGCACGTCGCCGCCGTCCTTCTCCACATCATTTAGAAAAGGGGGTCAGTGCAGCAGAGGCGGACCAAGGTTATGCCCCCCCCCCCCCCCCCCTTGGGCTGCCTTCAGGGGCCGGGGTTAGAGGCATGCACAGGATAAATCATTGGAGAAAAAAATAGCTGAGGGGGGAAAAAAAGTTGAGTTTTGAGCTTGCATGTGCTTGGCTTTCATCGTCCACCTGGAATGGAGACGATGATGAAGCTGAATGCAAAGGTTTCAGATGAGTTTAATGGGTTTGCGTCTCTCCTCTAGTTTGGAGCACACCCGAAAATCAGAAGGCGGAAGGCTGAATGAAGCCGTTCCTCTCTGGAGGACCTCTCAGAAACACGTCCGTCATTTTGTGAACAAATAGTTGAGTGTTTGCTCCTTCCTCCAGATGGTAGACTTTCCTCCCCCTCGCTTCTTTTTGTTCCCAACCGCTGTGCTCCCCATTGTCTCATCCCTCTAACCCACAGAGCCCAACGTGCTACAGTGACTTGACTTAGACTCCCTTCACCTTCCGGAGTAAAATACGGAGCTAAATGTGACACTTTTAGATTAATTTCACATGGCAATGACGTCAAAGTGCTGATCTACTCCTGTCAAGAGTCCCGGCCCTTCCTCTCTTCAGAAGTATAATCTAAATAAATCCCAGACGTGTTACGCAACAACACCCACGGATCTTAAGTTTCATACCAATGACCACATTTTTTACCGATTTCTGCTGGGATGTTGACGGAAAGGTCAAAAAGTGAGTTTTTTTAGGTGGAGAAAATTTCAGCATCAAATTATGAAAACCCCTAAACGGGTAATCATAGTCAACGGTGAACAGCCACCTCACAAAGTCCACAGCAACTTGTAATGCGACTTTCCGGCAGGTCGCAGCCGACGAGCAGAGACGGTCATGAAGCTGAAAAGGACACTTAGTCTCTTTTTACCACACTGACACAGAAGGCCGATGCAGCGGCTTCTTTGAACATTCCAAAAGGAAAATATTCTCAGTGGTGCACTGATGCCAAAATTGCCCTGTACGTCTCAATCTCTGAGATCCAGCAACATTCAAGTTAATCCCATTACTTGTCACAGCATTTTAGACGTTAGCCACAGGGATTCATTAATGGTCATATCAACAAACCCCTTCAAACGCTACTGAATCTCCAAAAGGGTTCTTCCACCCATTTTAGATGTTTAATGTAAAGGTGTTTAATTCATTCAAGTAAATTACATCTTGTGTTGCCAGTCACCTCCGGAACCGTTTGTCAATCCTCTTGCATCCCCCCCCGGCAGCAACGACGACTGATGACAACAAAAAGATGACGCGCAGCAAGACGCCAACATCCGTAGCGAGCGTACACCTTCTATTCATGATGATTAATGATTAAAGTCTCTTGTTGTCTCATACTAAGTGAATAAAACAAATACACACTATTTGATGTATTAATGTTTTCCAACCCGCCTTAATCTGCAGGAGTAATACTTACAGCAAATGTGCTGTAAACTAAAGACACTTCATGATTTAATTAACTTGATACTATTGCACGAGGAGCTGCAGGAACCCTGCCTAAATAAACCACATGTAAACTCAGACATCTGACACAAAAGACTTCATTAAAAAGCTAACGAGGCGTTTTACATGCAAGTTCACTTGCCATCCCCCCCCCCCAGCACATTGGTTAATGCCACTTCATTGTAAAGCGTCCCCATAGCAAGATCCCAAGCCAGACAAGACAAGACGGTGTTCTGCCTTCTTACTTCACCCCTCGTGGTCGTGCAGTTCAGAGAATTAGATCGGAACATGTCAATTTTCGGTGACTTTTAGCGATAGCAAATGCCTTTGGGTTTTTTTCCCCAGATCGACCAACAGTGTCCCGTCCAGCACACAGATTTTCATACTAATCAAACGACCCAGACTTTTGGCTCAGAGACCCACATCCCCTGATGTGAAAGGCATATAAAAGGTTTTAAGCAATATGTGAAGGAGTGAAACTGGCACCTTGGATGAGACGGAACTGAGCAAGCATCGAGTCTTCCAGGGGCGAGTATTCATGGAGCCCGGTTGCTAAGCTCCATATAGGATTGGGGTGCCTATGTGGTATTGTTCCTTCGCGAGCGGAGTGAAAGAAGTGAGCGGAGAGATTGATGAGAACGGTCAGTCCGTTGAGGTTCTCACTCAATGGAGCGCGCGCTTGACAAGTCTGGGATTCTGTGCGGTTGAATTATTTGCCATGAGGGTATCAATGGTTGGGCAGTGAAAAGACTTTAGAACGCAGTCCGCATGGATTAGTGGAGTTTATAGGAACCGTATTGTGGTTGGAGAATGTGTTATTTAGAATCACCTAAAGGTAGGTAGTAGTGTTAGTGTCTGACCCCACGGTACCATGGGAGTAGTACTTTACTCGTATGGGTCTGGTTGGATAGGGCTGTCTGTAGAGTCTACAATAACAGTAGATGTGACAACTATTTAGAGACATCTGCTACCTAAGACAGCCAGACCTGCAGACACTGATTATATGGTTGGAACAGGGACAACAGATGCAAAGATAAACATTCAACCCAATGGCTTTGTACTTTAAACAGTCCAATTACACCCTTACTGCCACCAAAATGAATAGTTCCCAACAGTAGCGGAGCTCAGGCGGACCGAGCCGCCACACACGACGCCTGTTAAATAGACTAAAACGCAACATGTCTGAAAATTGGAAAAGTAAACCACATCAAGCCTTCATAAGCGGCATGGCGGAGCTTTCCAGGCGTCAGGCCAGAAGTAAACAAGGGTGAATTTACTCCAGGATGGATTATAACTCATTATGTCTCATTCTCAAGCAAAACATGCTTGTCCTGCTCATGGCTTTATGAACAGCGGGACACTTGTTTTGCTCAGAGTTTGACAGCTGATTGGACATGATGAAGTGGTTTCAAAAAGGGCCTAGCCTGTGCCCTTTCTCTGTACCGCTAATTTCACGTTACTAGCCAGCTGATATAATGGAAATTGGTTATATGGGGAAATTCTACCAAAAAATAAAGAGAGAAGAAACTTCAACTATTATTTAAAACGGATGATAAAATAACATTTCATGATAATAAATTGAGATTTGTACATGTTTAAAATGGAGATCCTCAGAACCTGCTGTGAAACCACCTCCTTAATCTCTGCCAACAAATTTCTATATGAAGCCTTGAATACAGCGATTTTACCGTGGCCATCTTGGATTGCGGCCATGTTGTTGTTATCACAACCATATTTGGAATGCGACGTAATGATGCCGTATGCTGCTGTGGTGGCAACAGCGACATGTCAATCACAGTAGCCCACCCCTAAAGCAAGCCCTGCTTCATGGTCTGGTTTACTCTAAATGGACCATAATGCTGCATTGAAGAAGACTTGAAACGAAAGATTGAGACCATAAACAAATTTTTCCCAATATTTATGAACGGAATGAATCAGTGAGAAGAATAAGTTATTATTTTCTGACAGACTTCTATAAAATCGGACTTCTTTTTGCCACCGGAAGAGTCGCCTCCCGATGGTCAAAAGAGAGAATGCAGGTTTTAAAGCACTCGCGCCTTGACTTCACTTTGCGGTTGCTGCCTGGTCCCGAAATGAATAAATAATTGTTCAAATGGAAGTAGCGGACAAGACTTTTAGGGCGTTCTCTCCTCACGGATATTCATGGTGTTAATCGCTACACGCTAACAGCAATGAAAGTAGTAAAAACAAAACGACACGTGAGCTGCAGTTTTCTCAGGATTCTCACCTGTAGAAGAGGAGCTCTGATTCCAGCTGGAGGACGAGCCTCTGTAGTGTCGGCACATGGCTGGCCTCGGCCTCCAGTTCCTTCACCTTATCCAGGCCGCTGAGCAGCGCCTGCCTGGCCTCCTCCACCTTCCTCCTCATGCCCACCTGCTCCCTCTTCAGGACTCGGTTGCATTCCTCCAGGGTCACCACGGTCTGCTTAGAGGTCCACAGCTCCTGCTCCAGTCTCTGGTTACACAGCATGGCCTCCTCCACCTGCAGGTCTCTGGAGCTGCGCAGCAGTTCTATCTCGTGGATGATGCTCTGCAAGCTCTTCAGGTTGCTCAAACTCTTCTGGGCCACTTGTTTCTGGTGGGCAGCGAGAACGCCCTCCTCTGGCTTATGCTTTGAGTGGCGCTTCCATAGTCCTACCTGAAAAAGTAGTGCAACGAGTGACAAATGGGCACCAGATGTTCTCTACTAACTAAAGATTGCACCTCCGTGGTCACATACCTGTAAAAGTTGTAATTAATGTTTTTTCTCAATCCTCTAATAGAGCATTTATAAAGGTATTGTTAAAAACAACATCAGTAAAATGTCATGCATTGTGGAAATAAAGCACAATTTATTACGTTGATTAAGTTAAGTTGTAAGTAATGCAATAAATAAATAATTGACACACAATGGATCACTCATGAGCTATAACCAGAACAGGTCTCTTGTTATTTGTTCTGTGATAATCAGATCCTTAATTAATCATCATTATCATTAATGAGAAGATTATGATTATGTTTGTCACTAACAGAGTCCGCCGATGTTAAAAACACATGGAGTGACTGCTTTTTGTGGCTGGCTTGGAAACCTGACACCTGAAATTGTAAATTGTTGTAATAACATTCACTAATGCCTTGTAGATCCGTTATGAGCTGCAAATCTTGTCTTGACTGTCTATTCAGGACTCCAGCATGCTGGAGCCCTAAAAGCCTTGTTGCCTCATTTCTATAATTCTATTACACTTTCAAAAACTTAAGCAGGGCTTTGTGACGTCATCCCCGGTCCAACGCTCGTGCTCCCACCTGCAGCGCCAAGCAGCGCGCGTCGCTGCTCTGGAGTGCGGCGCGCATGTCCTCGATGAGCTCGCGCAAACTGGCGTTCTCGTCCTCCAGCGTCGCTACGCGGTCCTCGGCCTCCTCCAGCGCCACTATCTCCTCGTAGCACTCCTCGGTGCAGGAGGCGAGCCTGCGGCCGGAGGCGTGGCGGCCCCCCGAGCGGCGACGCGCGCCCTCGCACAGCAGCTTCTCCCGCCGCCTCAGGGGGCTCCGCAGGCGGATCTGAGTCTCTATGTGCTCGCTGTCCTTACCGACCAGCAGCCGGCCGTCCTCGTACTGGCGCCCCGCCTTGGTGCTGAAGTACCCGCACAGCTTGGCGTGGAAGTGCCTGAAGGTGAGCTCGCCGGGCAAGTCTTCCAAGACGCCGGCGCACTCGGTGTCCTCCGAGTCTTTGTCCAGTCCCAGAAGTTCACACAGGACGTTGAAGTCCTCCGCGGGGATTTTGCCCCCGCCCTGATAGTCCATATGATGGAAAATCTCCTGCAGGTACTGGTCCAAGCCGGTGGCCAGAACTATAATCTCGTTCTCCACTCCCCGGTCCAGTCCGTAATGGTACGCCAGAGTGCTGACCACCCATTGCGTCCTGCGCGCCGGCCGGCTGTACGGATCAATGGAGTCTACTGCGTCCATCATTCCCACCGAGAAACACCATATTTCCTCAAACTCAACGCGGTTACTTTGTCTCTTCTAGCGTCGCCCCGTGTGTGCGTGTGTGTGTGTGTGCGTGTGCGTGTGCGCGCGCGCTCGTGTTCATCCTCTCGGGCAGAAGCTCGACGGCGGAGTGGCGCAGGCGGACCGAGGCGTGTGTAAAAAGAGGGAGAACATTTGAAGGTAGCACTGCCCCTCCGAAAGGAGACACCCCCCCCACCCCAAACCCCCCCCCCCCCCCCGCCCCAGTGTGTCCCAACCAGGACTCGGTAACATGCGCGCACAGCCCGCTGCAGGGGGCGCGTGCTGCCGTTCGCCATGGGTGTAATTGCCACCAGGTGTGTAAACTTGTGTCGCTCGCTCGGTTAAGATGTAAGATGCCCAAGAGGCTAATAGCGACTATTTGGACTTTTTTTTATTTTTCAGCTGAGGAATTTTAACTGCGCGGGCTTTTACTCGGGGTGCACTTTGCACCTTGTGTTGCCCCCTGTGACCAAATACCAGGCAGCTTCTGAACCCAGGCCTCAGGTAAAGGTACTAGTGTACAGAAATCTCCGACTCCCAACTAGTCGAAGTCCGGCTTGAAAAACAACAATGTAAGTTACTCGTTATGCAGGATAGACCATTTCTGACTGTGTATACTGTACAATGTTTCTCCATGAGATGTAGTGGAAGTATGATGTGAATACAATGGCAATACTCAAATACACACAGTATGTGCATGACACAAGTGTTGATAAAATACAGATTTCAATCAATCAGAAGTACCTCAAAAGTATTGAATTGATAACCCACGTCAATATATGTTCTTTGTTGTATTCCAGGACGGCTCCTCAACCGTGTTCATATCCTTCTTTATTGTAAATAGTTTTATTATATTTTCTTTACAACGGCACAGCCTGTATTGTGCCAGTTATTTTCCCTCTGAGCTTTTGGTCTTATATATGGAGTTAACGCCTCATAAATCCACATCTAGTGTAAAAGTGCAAAAACATCAAAAACCGCACGGCACGTACGCGCCGCCCTGCTTTCACTCGTCGTCATGGCGACGCGACGCGCTCAACACGTCACGTTACGTTTATGGGACAGCGCGCCACTTTACAACGGCACAACGCGTCTCACGTCATTAATATGAACCGGATAAAGTGAGAAGGCGTGTCTTCGGTTACCTGACGTAACTTACGTCCTGTACTGACGTCATCGATAATACTTTACGTCATTGTTAACGGTACATTCGTAGTAACCAACAGCAGCTGAGGTGAGCGCACAAGGGAATCAACTTTGTTGTAGTATCTGAATATTAACATGAATGTTGAAATTAGCTGTAACTTTCCTTAGAGGCTGCTAGCCAAGGTAGCTAACGATAATTTATTTTGTTGACATATTAAAACATTCGCAGTCAGAGATATCTGTTAGCTAAGCTAATTTAGCTAGGCTAATTTAGCTAGGCTAATTTAGCTAGGCTAATTTAGCTAGGCTAATTTAGCTAGGCTAACTTAAGTCGACAAATAACGTTAACTGCCGTCAGCTGTGTGCAGGGGACGAACGAGTGTTCAATAAATTCACTTAAGAAGAAGCAAAACGTCCTTTGTACGTCACATGTAGACAATACAGTTGACGTTGGTGTGTGTGTGTGTTGCTGCTAAATGAACAGCTTTAGGCTTCAACATGTGTTACATCCGATGTCAACTTCTGAAACTGAAACAACGTCAGACACGAGATTTTGAAACAAAAACTACCATTTAATCAATTTACAATTCCAACACAAAAGAAGTCACCGTGGACACGTGTAGACAACATCAAGTCCACAAACGCGTCCCACCAGAGGAGACACTGCACAGCTTTTGCTTTTTGTTTGGAGTTTACTGTCCAGGCAACGCACTGTGATGGACAGATAGTTGTCCCTCCGCGAGTCAATGTCCTCACCAATCTGCTGCACACCAACCTCTTCAAATCTAATTGTTAATTAATAGCGTTGGAAATGACTGGAAATGTTATGGATGAATTAACCGTGTTTTGAAAGATTTTGGATTCATACATTTATAAAACAAACGTAAAAGAAAAATGATGATCAATACGGTTTAATTCTTCTGCTATGTCTCCCATAAGACCACATGGACATGATGTCAGAGACGGGTCCTTGTAATCCACCGTCAGACTGTAACGCCGGACAAGTTACCGATGAAGGAAAGGAACGCGTGTCCGTCCTTCAGACCGATGTGGTGTCCATAGCACAAAGGTCAGGTCCACCTGAGGACATAACGGGACCCATAGATGACAGTGCCTACTACGTCACATGGACAGTTCTCATTGTCCTCGCTGTCCCAAGAGGTACGTCATTCAAAAGAGATGAACCATTGACATTAGCTGATGGGGATGTATTAAAAGTGAACGTCAGTCATATGAGCCAAGTGTGGGAATGAGATCAATACTATAACGTAAGAAACAGATCACGGATTCATTTCACTCTTTATCTCATTCGTACACACGTCCCCTTTTTTAGGGGAAGACATCGATGCCTGTGAAGCTCCTGGAAAGACAGAGAAAACGAATAAAGCTCAGAGCTGGTACCATATAGAATACAAGTTGTTGCCAGGTGATACAGAGACAGTCAAAGTGGACTTACTGGTGTTCGGGCCACTAGCAAAACTCTACAAAGAAGATGAGTTCAAGGTAACCATGACGTGTGTGTGTGTGTGTGTGTGTGTGTGTGTGTGTGTGTGTGTGTGTGTGTCCTACTCATAAACAATTCATGATCATCTTGAATGACCAATAATAAAGCTTCTAGAGATACACAAAATTATCCATCAGTGCACACAAGGTTATTATTGCAACGACAGGGTTTGTTGTTACTGCTCACAAACACTTTCTAAGCACCCTGCTGTCTAGTGACACTTTCACTAGAAAGTGCCTCTAATGCAACAACAGAGCAATGTGCGTAACAGGTTGTTGGAACGCGGCAGGACGGAGGTCAGACATGGGTCGGTTGGAGCCAGGATTTCAGGATCGGAGTGAACAAGGATCTGCTGATCAGTCTGCTTCCTCACACCATCACGCTTCAGATATGGAACAGTACGGCAAAACTGTCCGACCAGGCCCGCTACGAGAGAACGAAAGCCTTCAGGCCGACACAGGATCAGCCGAAAGATGCAACGGACCCCTGTGGTGAGCATCAACTTTCCCCAAAAAGTGCCTCAGACCACACATGTCCATGTTGTGTACACTGTATTTTATATGACGTGATGTAATGGAACTCTATTCTAAGGTGGCGTTAGGAGCACGGTCAACAACCTGAGGTCCTGGTGTAAGAAGACGTCGAACACATCTACAAAGAGCAGAAGTGATAGACGATTTGATGAAGCAGGTACATCTCCAAGTTTATCCTTGTTAACAATGGAATCCTAACCGTGGTAAATGCTTCGGTTTATGTTTACACACTTATGATGTATCTTTGCTCTATGTCATGCCAATAAACTTTACTTTTACGATACCTCTGCATTTCCCAACGCTGTTCACGGACTTGAATCCTCTCGCCAAAACAGAATTTCAAAAACCCACAATTGATTCATTCAACCTTGAGGAAACCAAAGGGATCTCGGCTGAAATCCGTCCCATTGGATTACTAGCGGGTGAGTAACTCGATAGCTAAAACCGACCAAAAAGAAAGCAAACACTCATTATAAGTTATATTGCTCTCGTGTTTATGAAAAGTTCAACCTCATTGTCACTTTTTCTTCGTATTTCAGAGGCAGATTTATTCTCTTGTGGCTTGCGGTTGCCGTTTTAAACACACTTTAAAGTAGTTTACATGAAATATTGAATTTAAACATCAAATATAATATATTACATTTGGTTCCATGCTGTAAACAGCGGTGTCATGAGTTTGTTTCCAGGGAAGTGTATTTTCTCCCGAATTGAGGTCACAGTTTTCAACACATGGTTGACATCAAACGTTTAACACGAGGTTAAAATAAGTCATCGAGACTAACATGATTCGAAATATATATCTGTGTCACCCCAGAAAGAAATCTATTCCGACAGACAACACATTTCCTCTTGAAACGTAACTGAGAATGCTGATTTGTTGTCCAAGAAAATAACTTTCATGAATATCCATCTAATATTTGCCGACAAATTTAAGTCTTGAGAATATACATTTTCTTTACAGTGAAATAGTCCTGTATTTGTTTGCCAGGTGAGACGTCTGTCACTCGACGCTTCCCAGTCTGCTCGTGTGGCGTGTTGGAGGTTGTGTGCAACGTCTCTCTGGACAGAACGTTAATGTCTGACCAAATGAAGGCGGAACTCAATCCGCTGGTCATCACCATTGTGTCCGCCACCTCATTGCCTTCATCGCCGGTCCCTTCCCACGTCCCGGAGGTGCGACTCACGTGTCACAACAAAAGTTATTTGTTGATGTCACAAATAACACACATGTCCTTTTTTTGGTTTCAGGAGAAATGTGGGCCCGTCTATTGCCAGTACAAATTCCATGACTCGAACATGCACAGAACACGCTCCCACACGCGTGGCACCAAAGTCCACTTCAGAGACGTGAATGTAATCCTGACTGGCTTGATGAATCCCGAGGAGCTCGGAGAGTTCCTCTCGGGTCCCCCTCTCCAGATAGAGGTCCATGATCGGGACACAAAGTGGGAAGAAAGCCCCCCAACGTTTGGCCCAGGCTCAGCTGGCGAGGACCCGCTCACACAGAACACAGTGGCGCTGAACTCTCACGGCGTTGCAAGGCTAAGCCTCTCTGAGCTGCTGCTCGGGAGGAAAAAGCTGAAGGCGCACCTGCCAATCAAATGCTGCCCTCCGCCTCCGCTGCCGGACAGGGAACGGGACAGGAAGGCGATGCCACCGGGCCGCTATTCCGACGCCAATTCCCGACTCAAAGTGGAGGTGGAGATATCTTGTCCGCTCCATATTGAGGGGGGCGGCTGCAAAGGTCCGTTCGGGCGCATCATCTACCTCTTCGACTACAACAACTTGTCTTTGATGACCAAGCTGAGGTCGGAAATCCTCGCGATCAACGCGTCGGCTTTCCATCTTGACTCGCTGGGGAACGCAGAGCAGGCCCTGTCAAATTACATAATGAATTTCAGTCCCGACGGGGGCCGGGATCTGGATTTCGTTTCGGGATTCCACGTGCAAGATAGGAGGGCACACGTCTTTGTTCTTGAAGGGCTGAGACACGGAGCAGTGAGGAGACTCTGGGAAGCCGTTCCTCTGAAGTAAGCCCCGCGGACACCATCCCGCCCTAACAGTTTTCAGCTGTGCCGTCTATTTGGAGACCGTGTTTGGATTCCAGCGAGAACCCTGCCGCTTCTGTTATGTTCTGCAGGCAAAGTGGGAGTGAAGAGGAGCAGGTGAAAGTCCTCTACAATTCAGACCTGGGTTTCTTCAAGCGCATGTACGGCTCATTATGTGTAGGCCTGAGTCCTGTCCATTTGTATGAGCCTCTGGAGACCATCATGAGGCGGCCTCTGGTCTACATCAGAGGCGTGGTCCCCCGACCCTGCTTCCAAGCTTTGTTAAGGTACCAGTATTGTGGGATTTAGGTGAAAAACAAACTTTTAATGATTTTGAAGTACAAATCAGCAATCTTGTGTATGTTCCTCATGCATGAATTAATCCATTGCTGTTGAGACAGGATAGCCCATGTATAGTTCTGGATAAAATGTGCAATGAACAGATGATAGACTTCACCATTGTAACTATTTATTTAAGAGGACACATTATGCTCACTTTCATTGTTCATACTCGTGTAGAGGGTTTTTCTAGCAGGACATGTTTGCATGCTCAAAAGAGCCCAGTATATTTATCAAACTGCCACATCAGGCCTGGATTCACCCTCTGTTTTTAAGACAAAAAGTCTGCAGTGATTGACCTGGGAGGAGACTGTCGTGCATCGTACCCATGAAAGCTGTCCCGGGAGATACTCAGACCAACAGAAAAGTGACTTTTCCCATGTTGCTTTCTCATGACTTGTGTTTCGCCTCCCGCAGGTTGAGCCAGCTTAGCCGAGCGGAGCGCCTCACACACGTGGTGCGGTGCGACCTCTTCCCCTCGGCCGACATGATCCGCGGCCTGAGCGAGAACTGCGGCACAAATGCCGGGCAGCGGGAGAAAAGAGGCGGGGCGAACGCGGCGGCGGACACACCCACTCGGCCCGTGGCCGCGTCCACCGTACGCGTTAAGAGTAACGCCCCAATCAGCGCGCAAACTTCAGAGTACGCTAAATGGAAAGACAACAGCCGGTCGGTGCACCAGTCCAGGGACTTCATTCAGGTCGGTGGGCCCGAGTGATTCACAGTAGGATGTAACTTATGTAACCGAGCCCCTCACGCGTTACGTCTTCTCCTAGGAAAACGTTAAAAAGGTGCAGGAGGAAAGTGAGCGGTTGCAGAAGCCAAAAGCCGCTGTGTTTGGGAAGGAACTGTTGGCAGCCGGACCGGTGCACAACTACAGCATCCAGACCTTCAACTCGAGTGAGCGAGCCAAGGAGCTGCTCCGGGAAGTGATGGCCCAGGTCGGAGCCCTGCGTCCCGTATGGAGACAATACGCAATACTATCATAAGAGTACGGCGAAAAAGATGGTCTGTGCTTGTGTGGTGGTCACTGCAGGCTCCAGGGAGGAGGTTCACCTACTGCCAGCGGTATCACAGCGCCACAGTGGAGCAAGGACACGTCATTTCCAAAAAACGCCCCAACGCCATCGCTGCCCCCAGAGTTTGGTTCACAAGCCGGAGCAGCGACGAGTCCAAGTGTCACCCTCGACAACCGGACGAGGGTCGTGTGGAAGAGCTGAGGAAGGTGTGTGTGTGTGTGTGTGTGTGTGTCTTCTTTCTCCATGAGCTACCAGCGTATTAGTAGGACGTGGCTTAGCGTGTTGTCTTTGATGTTGCTCTTGTCTTCCAGCCATGGAGGGAGAACGTCCTGCACGACAACATATTGAAGCCTCCACTTTCAAGGGACACATGGGCCTGGAGCCAGCGCCACGAGGACTTTCAACTCCACTTCAAACCGCTCCCTTCTTTCAGCCCGTCTCCGTCCACCATCCACCTGGCCGGTAGTGCCGCCTCCATCGCTCCCCACCAGACACAACCACATGTGTCCATTTGTTTGGTTCATTTGACCGAATGTCATGGAAGACATCGGCCGCAGGCAGCAATTATTCAGCTGAGGCTGCCTCAATATAGCATGATGCCATACGGCCTCTCGTTGACCCCACCCTACCATTAAATACACAAAGGCATCCAGGAGTTGTCCACAGAGGGCTGGTGTGTAGGCTCCGGTGGTCTCTAGCGGCGAGGCTGCAGATTGCAGTGCGTAGTGTGGCGGAGAACGTAAAGGGCTGTATCTACATCAGGTAGGGTGGTGTATCACTGTACCACAGTCTTCGCTGCCTGCGGTTTGGACCGAAGTTCAAATGGTTCGGTTTTTTGAGAGGGTGCTAGCTGGTTTTAGTTTAGTTCCAGTTTACCTTTTTGTTTCATATCAGTTTTTTGTTTTTCACGCGCCAGGTAGAACGTCTCAGAAGCGAAATTCATGCCGTGTCCTTCTTTGTAAACCAGCTCTTGTTTACAAACGATAGTATTCGCTGCTTATAGTTTAAGGTTAATATCTCTGGTTGGGACCTTCCAACACACGGGGGGGACTAGCATCTAGAAATGTACTAAGATCAACAGTCAGCATCCGGTGGACCTTTCACTGTCTGAGCTGTACGCCTTTTCTCAGTATCTGAGGCCAATATTGATGTTTTGATTGAAGCTCCAGATGGCGGCCGTTTGAGCCAGTATCAGTTTTTTGGCTGCTGAGTAACTCCCACACTGTAGGATGGATCTGCTCAGAAATATCAAGCAGTGGACCAGAATGATCTGCTTTCGTCCGTCCAGTAAAATGAATTAATCCAAATACTAAATCCTTAAATGTGCTGTTTGTGTGGCTGTGCCGTTGATCCACAGGAGACCTTCTGAAGCCGGAGCAGCTCGGGGGAACCAGAGCGCTGCACAGGCTGCTTCCCGGCCGCCGCGCCAACCCGCCGGGCAACGCCCCCCTCCCACGGTTCACGTGTCACATGGGAGGAAACTCGGACAGGATTCAGGAGATACTGAAAGATGAGCCTAAGAAGTATTCACTGAGGAAACCGGGCATGGTGCTGGAGGTACGGTGCTGTTTGAAGGACTCTCATTCAAGAAATTCTATTTCTAATTTCAATTTGAATTTATTGAATAAGACGGGAAGCTCAAGACCATAAACTCATGTTTATATTTAATGAGGCGTATTAATCAAGAAAGTTCTCAGACTTCTGCACAATCTGATGTATTTCTTTCCCCTGCTGGTCAGCAGATATATTACAGTTAGACATACTTATATATAAAGTATAGACAATACTTTATTACTACAATAAGTACACACATTTTCCCCAAGTAACTGGAGTATGCAGGGATTTGATGCGTCTATGCAGAGCTCTACTGAGACACTTTGTGCCGTCTGAAGTGCATTTATAAAGCGGCCTCACTCAGACCTTTAAGGCATTATATGTCCCAATCAGTTTCTATCAATCAGGTTAAAAATCATTGTCCAAAGTTGAGGGATTTCTCATCGGTCCCAAAGACTTAAACAAATGCGTTTATATTTTGCAGTGTGGGAAACTGCGATCAGACCAACATCAATGAGGATGTTTTAGGTTTATCAGAATGAATCGCTGCATAGAAACGGGAATATTCGGTAAATTCAAACGTAGCCGTTATTGTTATGAACGCCTGTTTATCACAATGCTAGCCTCGCCTCAGTGTTTGGCGCTAATACAGCGTTTTTTGTTTTGTAGCCTTTGCCTCAGCTGTCTGTGATGAACTTGGGTGAAAACAACCAGCGTGGCTGTGGCCCCGCGGCCCGACGCAACAAAAGGGGCGATGCCAGACATCCCTCCGCCCGGCGAGGACCACCACATGTTCGTGTAAGTTCACATTTTAATTAGAAAGAAACTGTAACCCGGCCAGCCAGATAGAAGCTAATATTATATTTGAATCATGGAAGTGTATAGAACCTCATCATATCTTATGCAGATTCATGTTCTCCTCAATATTGTGATGTTATTTAGGTGGAGGCTTCAAATGAATGGAAGGGTTTCATGTTCGTGTTCCGTTTGCTTCTCACAGTGGACTCGGTAAGCGCTGCCGCTCCCTCTCCAGGCGACCCGCCCTGCCGTTGGCGGAACACGAGAAGAACGTCTTCCCTTCCCAGAAGTCCACACCTCAGGGACCGAGTAGGCCAATGAGCATCAGTTATTTAAATACATAGTTCGTAATGCCATTTCCCCAAAAGTCTTCCTTGAAGCCACGGTTAATAAAATACAGTGTACTAACAGATCTCTTTATTTATTAATAGGGTGTGCAAGGCAAGAAGTAACGGAATCACTGGAACTGTGAACTTGTCCAATCAGAGCAGAGCTCAGAACGTCCTCTCGAGGGGGTGAGAGCAGACGTAGGCTCGGTTCTCCAGGACTTCTCTGGCGATCTTCTTGATGTTGGCGTCGTTGTTCTCGGGAGAGTCTGCAACATCGATATCGGAATCACACACAGCTTTTGCTCGCTCAATACGAAAACAAATCTTTTTTTGATTTGCCTGGATCATGTGACCGGATGAATTACATAGAGGTCGTTAAAGAAACAGTGTGAAGACGAAGAGCAGTGAGGGGGTTCCAGTGTTGCTATGTGGTCTGTTGTTGGGGGAAATTCCGCAACACATGCAAGTCTTTTGTACCGAGATGCAGTAAAAGAAAAAAGGGATGCGGGGCTGTTCTCAATTAGCGCTTCGGTTTGTACTTACGTTTTTGCAACTGAGTCATCCAGTAATTGTTCTTGAAGAAAGCGTCGCTGCAGAATGTGTTTGTGAGCAGCACCTAGAAGTGAATGTGTGGGGGGAAAAAACAAGACATCAACACAAAGCCCCACATGTTGCATGATAAGATCTGCAGCTTCAATATCCAACAGTAACCAGTCATTCTTTTTTTTTTATAAACGGAACCAGGCTTTGATCATGTGGGACTACGCTAAGCGATTGAATTACAAAAAGGACACAACTGTTTAGAAAGAAAGGCACTTTGAAATCCCTGCGCGTGTTTTACACAAAAGGTCTGCTGACATTTGCTGCCTCTAGCTGCTACGCCCCTTTCCCCCTTTTCGGGTGGAGCAGGGTGTGGTTGTACCTCTACTAAATAGTCAGGTAAGAAACAGCCATGAAAGAGCAAAAGCGCACAGGATGGTGACTGACTGCCTTCGTGGTTTTCAGCAGAGGACTCGCTGCAGGGAGAGCAGCCAGTTAGCTGCACAGTCACGTGGCATTTATTAAAAAGACACTGATCAGTACAATGTGGGCAGCATACAGGGACATTGTCATTATACAACAGGGAGGCACAACAAAAAGCAGACTGTACATTCCGTTTAGCTACACTTACACCCCCCAATATATATTTGTAGACAGCTCTCATTCTACACTAACACAATTGTTCTTTTCAGGTGATTGCAGCACTCTTACTTAGGGTTCCATCCCTGAACACACTGATCTAGTTTCATCGTGTCACTACTGGCTGAGTGACCACTCGGTGCTTCCAAGTGGATCACCTCCCGTTGTACGTAGAGAAAGTGACGTGCGTACCGATGTGTTGAGCTCAATGGATGAAAGGCAGCGGCTCAACGGGAGGATTAACTCCAGGTGTGTAGGAGTCGTACACGTGTTGTTCACGGAGGATTCGCGGCAGATTGAGTATTTTCCTTTACTCTGCTTGGCCAAATACATCTGTGTCTTAATTAAAGCGTGTATGTGTGTATGTGTGCGCGTGCACCGTACACACCTCGTGGTCGTGATTCCGGAGCCCGATGCTGATGGAGCGGCTGCTTCTGGACAACACAGCTGTCATGGCGTAGAGGTTGATCAGCACATCTGCTACTCTCTTCAGGATGAGCTGTTCGTCCACTAAGGTCTGAACAAAAACACACAAGCAGGACGCCTCAGTAATCAATCACGACCGACCGGCCTCTCAGGGGCGGAGAGAGAGTCACGTACTCGTAGCAGATCACCGCCTCTTAACGGAGCTTCTTTATCATGTCGTTTCTTGGTAGATGTCGCATGTTTTAGCAACTTCATTTAATTGTTACTTCAAGCAGTATGAGACATTTTGGTTTAGCTCAGCGTCGATGAAGGCTCCCTGTCTGGAGTGTTCGACCCTTTGTGACCTCTTAGTGAGGATTGTTGGAGATTTGCTCATCACAGGTATGTGGGGTAGATTGGTTCTGACTCCAGTTCTTTTCACAGAGGAGGACCCTCATTTCAAAACCCTAAACACGGCACGTATGGTAATTGGTATGGTATGGAAAATGTCACATTGGGTCAGTAACACCAAATCCCGGGGAAATTATTTCAAAGGTTTTCTGCGTTTCCACGGCGTGGATGCAAACAGATGGCCTCAAAATCCTACACGGCGGATCTTTAAAACATAAATCTCATTTGTCAGTGTGATGAAAGCCCTCTGAGGGGAGCGATACAGGAAGCAGCGATCTGGAAAAGCTGAGCCGTTTCCAGCAGGTTTACGGGCTCAGTGGGGAAGCCGCGATTACAGAACCACAGTGAGGAGAGAGAGGAGCAGCTGCTCCACAGCTCACCCCAGAGACGCTGATTGGACGACACAAACTGATACACTCAGCCATTCAGGACAACATCACACAGAATACACCAAAGAACCAACGTTACCTTCCCATATCTGTACAGCAGGCTCTCCACAGTCGATCCGAAGAGGTCAACGTTCTGTTCAAACTTCTTTGCGCTTTGCTGTAAGCAGAAAAAGGCCCCCGAGCATCAAGCAGAGCACCGGATAAGATCTGCAGGAGATGTAATCCTCTAAAGGGCGGCCATCAAATGTCTCACCGCCAGGCTGGGATGCACCACTCCGTCCTTCCCCGTCAGGCCGAGGTCCGCTGAACTCCCGAAGGACGCCCTCAGCTTCTTGCCCACCATGCCCAAAGCCAAGCCGATGTTTCCCTTCTTCATCTCCCTGCAGGCCGGGCGGAGGGGTTAGCAAACAAAACCAAGGCGGTAACAACGGATCAAGGTCATGTTTTTTGGATGGCAACGAGAACAATGCCTGCAAATGAGCCTTTTAAGAATCTCATTGCTTTCATAAAATTAAAAAATTTAAATTTAATGATTTTCATTTGGGAGGGAGACCCTGATAACCTGAACCCTGAAGATCAAACAATGGATTTTAACAAACCAAAAGCTTTATCTTGTCTAGTGTCATGATATCAATGAATAAATCCATAATCTCACTTTATTTTGCCTGTGAGGACTTTGCCAGCGTACTGCATTCCAGTGAGAGCGATGTACATCCTCAGGATTTCATTGGTACCCTAAAAACAAGAACAGATTCTTAGAAATGCCACAGTATTAATTCAAATAAAAATCTTTGTTAACTGCGTACAACTGATTCACAGTCAATTCATCTTGTTTCGTATAGCCCAAAAGAGCACATTTCAAATTTGCCTCAGAGGGCTTTACAGTCTACACACCCTCTGTCCTGAAACCCTCACATCAGCACAGAAAAAACTCCCCCCAAAAATAAACAGGTAGAACGTCAGTGAGGATGGACAGAATGAACAATGTAAAAGAGAACAACTGTCCATTGATGCGCTGCTACTTGGTCCACTCATCAAGTCCTAGGAAGTAGTTCATCTAAAACATTAGATTTATAAAGGCAAGTGGGCCACCTGGTGGCCACTTTAAGAGATGACATCTTAAACCGACTACGCATAGAAACGCACGATTCCCCCTCCTTATGATAAGGAACCGACAAGAGCGTGAACCTTGATGTTCTATGTTGTACATGGGAATCCTCTCAATTATCTCGTTTTATGTTTCTCCCAACTGTCTCCCATCTAAATCCTATGCCGGCGGCTGCACGCGTTTCGACTGCGGCGCAGTCAGCATTTTCTCGCGGCCCGATCATGAATACAAGCCGCCCATAAAACAGCTGTACTGCATTCACAAACAGCTGTACAGTATTGAAGGGAAGAAGTTATCTGCATGATGTTCATTCGGCGATGATAACCATCGCCTTCTCGAGCTAAAGCACCTCGAAGATGGGCAGGATGCGACAGTCCCTGACGTAGCGCTCGTAGGGGTAGTTCTTGGTATAACCCAGACCCCCCAGGATCTGCAGAGCTTCGCTGGTACAAATCCAGCCTCCCTCCGAGCTGAACACCTGAACAGAAGATAAGAGAAAACGCGACATCAGACATCGGCTTATGTTTGTTTTTGTTGATATGAATTCGTATGCGATGAGAAAGCCGTCTGACCTTCACCATGGCGGCCTCCAGAGAGCAGTCGGGAAGCCCCGGTCTGTCCATCATCCCCGCTGTCAGGTACGCCATGCTCTCCATCACAAAGGCATTAATGGACATCAATGCAAACTTCTCCTACAGAATCGGGGGACAAACACACATTTTATTCTCCTCCGACTGAGCGGAGTTGATTTTTAACAATTTAAAAACGGACTACCTGAATCATTCCAAACTCTCCCAGGCTTTTGTTGAACTGCTTTCTGGTGGCTGCGTACTCGGAGGTCAATTCTATAAAAAAACAAAACGAAGAAGTCAAACTGAAACGGTCTTCACATCGACACACGGACGTTCTATAATGAGCTGTTCTGTCCTTACCGATTAGTTTCTTTATCATTCCAGCGGAGGAACTGCCCATACTGAACCTCCCAGAGTTCAGGATGTTCATGGCGACCTGTCCAACCACAAAGGTTAAAGGTCACCGAGCAAATCAACACTCACTTAGCAGACGGGAGTCCCGTGGGTGGAAGGCGAAGCTCACCTTGAACCCGCCACCTACTTCCCCGATCACGTTCTCCACCGGCACTGGGACGTTGTCAAAGGACACTTCGCAAGCTGAAAAGGCCAAACGGCTTGATTACCAATGACAACTCCTCCCCCCCTCTCCCCTGCACGCCTGCCCCCTCCCGTCCGATTAAAGAGCGGCTTACTGTTGGAGCCCCCGGATGCCCAGCTTGTCCTCGGGCTTGCACGCTGGTGACGCCCCCCGAAAGCCCTCTCCACGATAAACGCAGAGATCTTATCCTTCTTCACGCCGTCCACGACCACCTCCGTCCTGGCGAACACGGTCATGACGTCGGCCATGTCTCCGTTAGAGATCCAAAACTGCCGGCGCACAAGTTGGCACAACTTTAGAGTTCCCGGGCAAAAGCAATGAGGCACGAGAGCGGATGAGAACCGAACACCCGCACCTTGGATCCGTTGATCAGGTAGTGCTTGCCGTCCTCCGACAGGGTCGCTCGGGTCGTAATGGAGGCCGCGTCACTTCCGCTGAAAAGGTTCAAACGTAAGGAGGGTCGAGCTAAAGCCAACACAAAGACGGAGATTCTACATCGTTTAAATCTGCTGTGCCCACAGAGTGTTCGCTCCCTCGGATCATTACTTCTTACGCCGTTCAACGCAGACTAGAAAATGGCTGAAGAGATGCTAACGACGTGCAACAGGAAGTCCTACTGAAATGACATTTAGTCGTCCCTGGGTCGCCGGTGTGCGCTACGCTACATTTGCTTAACCAACTTCTTTTTTGTGCGGCTGGATGGAAGAACTGACGGCATTACCCACAAATGATAATACGAAAACTAGAAGTCCACTTCCACAGATCGTCATGCGATACGGAGCTGCAGGGTTACCTCCCGGGCTCAGTCAGACAGAAGGCAGCGATGTGTTCTCCAGAAGCCAGTTTGGGAAGATACTTCTGCTTCTGCGCTTCGTTTCCGGCTATGAGAATCCCCTAAAACGGCAAACAGCCGTTAGCAAGAAGCACATGAACCGTGTTGTCAGCGGCTAACGCGCTTGCACTCATCGAGGGGTCACCCGGCGTTACGAAGCCTCGAGTCTGACGCCATCGGTCAGCTTTTTCTTAATCACGTGAAATGAAGTTACCAATAATATTTGGCATGCAAAAGAGGGACATGGTGACGCCGTATACATCTCTGGTAAAGTCAGTAACCAGCCAATCAAGCACACCCTGCTTTATGTTACATTTGACTCTTAATGGCACAGAATTGTTTTCTGAGGGAATAAATCATTTTCCCACAGACTTCTATGCAATATGATTTATTTATCAACTATTTCCTACCTTCAGTCCGATGGCCTGATGTGCAGCCAGTGTTACAGCAATAGAGCCGTCTAACGAGGTAATCTCTGCCAGTCGCGCATACACGGTGTTGGACAATCCGAGACCCCCTGGGACACAAACAGACAAGACACTTCCTTCAACACTGTGCCGATAGGGCACTGTTGGACTACTGCATGGGCGCATGGGTAACCTCACCATACTCCTCCGGAACCATGATCCCAAACAGCCCGAGCTCCTTCAGCCCGTTCAGCGTCTCCTCCGGGATCTTGGCTTCTCGGTCAATCTTTGCCGAGTCAACTGAGATCACATTATAGATGAAATTGTCAACTCTGACTATCAACGTTCATGCTCAAGAAGATACAGCGCGTCAGTAGACGCGACGCAGTTTGATTGGACTCATTCATCCGATCTCCTCCCTCACCTTCCTCGCTGAAGAACTTTTCCACGGGCGCGACAAGCTGGTTGATCTCTTCCACCTCTTCATTTCCAATCTCTGGGTAAGGAAAGACTTCTGCCTGGGGCACAAACGCACTGTTAAAGATCCTCACAATTCTGAACCGCACTCTCTGAAATAACAGACGTTTATTCCTTCTCAAATCACGATGAGAGTTTTACTGGCAGAATGCCAATTAGTGACGGCTGATACGAAGTGATCTCCACTATATGGTCTATTTACTCTAAATGGAACATATTTTACTAAATGAACATGCGTTGAAGAACACTTGAAAACAGAGATTGAGACCGTAAACTCGGGTTTATAATGTTTACTGAGGGAATCAATCAAAACAGTAGTAGTCATTTTATCATATAGACGTCTATACAATCTGATTTGTTAGAAGATGATGATCCTGATGGTCATTAGAAAGGAAGGCACTTAACCTGGGGGGGGACAGCATCTCTATAACCTTTGACCTCTAAATTGTGAGATGGACAAACGATGAACAAAGGAGCTCGTTTCATATCATGCATCCGTCACTGGTTGGTTAGGTAAGGCTCGGGTTTCTCTTAGGTAACACACACACACACACACACACACACACACACACACACACACACACACACACACGCACGTAACGTAGAGTTACTTAACTCAGTCCCCGATGGATAGAAAGACGGAGCTTCGTCACTAGCGGCCATGTCCGCCTACGTTACAAGCGCAATCACGAACAGCCGGTCAGTTACCTTGTTCACTTGACCGAGGAACAAGTCCTTGGCGTACGCGAGGTTCCGTGACTGCGTCCTGATGGACCTGCGCTGCTGGAGACGCTCCGCGTCCGTCGCGGCTCGTCTCGTACTGCGCGAGACGAGCCGCTGTCCAAAGTGAAGGGACCTGGAGAGGACATATCTGTTGACATTCATCATGGTTCTTTCCCGGAGCGCCACTTCACCGACGTGTTCCGCACAAACACAGCGGCGACACCTTTCACCCGTTTCTGTCTCGTGCTGATGACGTAGGCAGCGACGTCATCACGGACTGCCGCAAACAGCAGCCAGTTACTGCGAACGTTTTATAACAACATAAAACTTGCACAAAAATGAAGTATTCGTGATCTTTTTATTGTATTTGAGAGACAATATTTCAAGCAAAGGTTTATTAAATATTTTCATTTACTCATCTGTTAAAATATCTTCACACACAGATATACATTAATTCTTTTTACGTCTTCTTTTAACTACCAAAAGCAGATATTTTAATGGTTTAATGCTGAATAATATTGGATTTAGTCGAAAAAAATGACTTGAGCAGAGTTGAATTGTTAGTTCTGTCCCATTGTCAGATTGCCGGATGCTTGAGGCTCCCACAGACATGTTTGAGCACTTTATGCCCTCGCGAATCACCCACAATTCATAGCAATATGACGCTAAACAGGGTTTTTTTTCGCGAAAACCTGGTGGTCACAGTTATCCGATATGGACAATAGTTCCTTCAGTGTCCTCCACTCCACCAAGTTCTGGGCACAACATGTAACAATGGCGTGATGGAACCACTAGGAGGCGCAATGCACTAAGGAACTACACGGCAGTTGGGTGAAGAGGAATACATCTAACAGTCCCAACATGGAGCTGTGTGGACAATGACATTATTTATAGCCCACGTTCCATTTAGGTGGACCAGGGCCCCGCGTGACCTGCATGCTGCCTGTGATACGCTAAATAGTATGGGACCGTATTTAACGTGATTACTTAAAGCTGTGTTTACAGTGCTTTGCTTGTGAGAAGGGCCCTTGAAGGTCCTCTGGACGACTTCAAATGTTCCGCCGCAAACCTACCGGGTTAATAAATAATGAATTGATCCTATCATGGTACTATCGAGGGCCTCTACGCACCAACACGACGGGGTGGTATGTCGCCCGATTGATTCTCCACCGGCGGAGGAACCGGGAGGAACTTGCGCCGGGGCCCCTCCCACCCGCATGATGACGTCAACTTGCTGACTCCGAGAAGATGGCCTCCCCCCCCCCCCCAAAAGCCCGGCGATCTAATTTTAGCTCCAACCTCGAGGTCCGGACGGACGAGGGAGGGCGAGCCGTCACTCAGACCCACCTGCCAAAGTCGAGGCAGCCGGGCCGGGGGAGCCGGGCCACGTTCTCCGCGGAGGACGGAGAGACTCGGTACACTTTGACCAGCGGATCCACAGACGTTTGTTTAGCTTTACATCAGAAGGCCTTTGAGCTGTTTGGGATGTGCTCTCACCACTCGGCATCCAAATGCAGGGAAATCTTAGTCAAGCCTGTCAAAAAAAACCAAATGTCTGACGTCATCGGGGTTAGAGCTTTAGCTTTAGCAGGTCAGGGGGCAGAGGCAGCCAATATTATTTACCCTTTTCAAGCAGAAAGACCCTCTTACATTCAACTTCATTCAAGTCAATCCAGTAAAGTCATTCAGCTCCGGGTTTTACAATATATCGTTTTATTTTGCGTTTCTCAACATCGTCACAGTACTAGTTTTACATCGATAGGGTTTTTTCTACTTAGAAACAGAATGCGTAGTAAAATAAGGAGCACTCGTCCCTTTTTCGTTTTCGACCGTCCAAATGTGGGCCGTGAGTGCGAGACGACGGGAGCTTCTCCCTGGAAATACGAGCCGGACGCCACGGCGCTACACCCCTGTGATAAATCAGTCCCGGTCGGAGGCAGAGAGAAAGCAGTCGATGATTATGTGAATATCAGAGGGGAGCAGAGATGCACCTTCGATGGACCTGCGGTGGGTGTAATAATAATTATCATTATTTACAGGCTATTTACATTTGTTTTTCTCATTGGTTTCTGCTACCAACACACCCGTAAAACATCGCCTCCCTTTTCCGAGCCTCTTCGTCGACTTACATTGTGCCCCCCGGATGGATTAGCTATTTACATCCAGCAGTGTGTCTCTGTCCTGTACAGTGGGAATGAGAGTTGAAACGGGAGCCGGGGGTAAGATGACACAACTTGGAATGAAAAGACTCGCTACTAGGGCCAGAAAGTGAGACGAAGCTAAGAGTCGAGCCCACTGCTCCATGGAATCACACATAAAACGCCACGAATAACGAAGTGAGAGAGAGACAAAAGGTAGGCAGCAACGGCATCCAACTCAGCGCCTTCACGCCGACTCTGGACGGGTTTTTCACAACCGCTCAGTCGCTTGAAGGTGTTTGTGACTCACTGATTGGACGTAATTCTGGGGTGAGTTCCTGTACGGGAGGAAGCCACGGTTTTTTTTTTTGCCGCGTTACAACTGGTCGGCGATCCGGGTCGGAAAGGTCAGGTAACTGTGGGCATTGTGCCGGGAACATTTCATTTTGGTATAAATCGGTTTTCAAATGTGATGACCATGCAGTATTGGCACTTTAGTGACTCCATCGAGTCTTCACTACGCCGGAATAGATAGGCATATATTTAAAGACCCAAAGGTCAGGTTTTAGGGAAGTCTACAGTACACGAAGCAGGATGAACAAATTACTAAAATGAAAAAAAAAAAAGTTTGGTTAGACGTTACTATGAAACGATTAACTGGCAACTAGCATGTTCCGCTTTTTAACAACTGAATTTAACAATCCAATAACTATTTAATCAAATCTCTCTCTTATCCGTCATCACTTGGACTTCCAGATGTCCAGACCTTCGTCACGTCCGCTCTACGCCCCCCCCGGCCCCCCCACCCCTCCTGTCTCCTATGCCAAAGACCCAGAGAAGTGACACGAATACGTAGTTGACTCTCATTAGCTGTAACTAAAGAGTCTAAACTAATCTACCACTAATCTTTTTTAGTTTTTAACAACTGTCGACCGCAACACTGATATAGTTTGGTGGAACTCAACAGTTAGAAAACAGCCCGGAGAGACATTGTTACATGCAAAATGGTTTTCCTTTGACTTCTTTATGAGCGCAGGTCCAGTCCGTCAAATCCATGTAGATACTTTTTAAGGGAATAAATTACAAAGTACATTCGGAGGGAAGGGGGGCAAAAAAGAGACAATGCTAACAGAACCAAACAAAGGGGAACAACCATTGGATCGAAAAAGCTCTTAGATACAAATAAAGAAGTAAATACATATTGCACAAGTAAAAAAAGAAAGAATCCAATCTATAGTCTTCAAACAGATTCAAACTTCTGCCATTGATATCGACTAAGAAGAACGAGTGCCGTGTCTGTCGCTTCTCAAAACAGAAAATGCTCCAGCATAGTGTGTCCTCCCCCCCCCCCCCCTCCTCCGCTGTGGACACATCGTCGGGTAATATGTCAGAAAGATGATTGATATAAAACCTGCCATTCCCGGTGAGCGAAGGGAAGCAGAGCTCCGCTGCAGAATGATAATTATTGATTTTCTGCCGTTGCGGTCGAGGAGCCGCATGCGGTGACGCCGACGAGGGGCCTACTCAGCCAGCTGAGAGCTTCCACATTCAGAGGGGGGGACGGACACGGCCCGTTTTCCCCGCTACGCGGCCAGCGTCCTGGGAGAAACCCCCCCCCTAAACGCCTCCTCTTCCTGCACGTTCCCGCCAGGTCGCAGTCCGGCCCCATTGGGACTCTAAACAACAGCAAAAGGTTTAAAAAAATAAAAATGATGGCGGACATTCAGGTGAATCTATTTCGCTCGTCGGCTGGGCTTTGGTGGAGATACGACCCGGGGAAACCAAAGACGAGCACGGCTTCAAGGTCTGCAGCGACCTTTAACCCCCTTCCCCGAGCTCAAAAGCAACCGTACGCAGCCCCCCCCCCCACTGCCTCACCAATAAAAGCTCTAAGTGCCAGCATAATATACAGAGAGTTATAATGAACCTTGTTCTGTAATAATAATAACTATAGTAACAGTTGATATTATCATTTTACAAAACCCTATGCACAGTATACACAAAGCAATAATTGTGACTAAATTAGTAAATGCTTCTGTAATTGGCACATTCATCACTCTTAACAGAGATATCACAGTGCGCTGTGAGCTACCGCTACATTAAATACTGGAACAGCTACTGTACGGCTGAGGGTGACTGTTCTGTCCTCTCTGCCCCCCCTCCCCCCACGACACGCCACCCCACACTGGGTTAAATCACTGAGCAAGATATTTGAAAGTGTCGCTTTAATTTGCTGAGGAGAAACAGTAGTTGTGGTCTTTGTGCATGCTCCTGCGTCCTTGTCCGCTGCTGCAGAGGGCGCCGTGCGTGACGTGTGAGACGGAATGAGGGGGGGGGGGGAATTAATTCATATTGAATGTGCTGGAGCGTCAAACACAAAAAAAAATGCCGGAGGTACAAGATCTCTTCTGGCTTTAAACCCCCCAGACCCACTTCAGCAGCCAAGAGCATCAGATTAAAAAACAAAAAAAGTTCGGTTCACAGAGCCGCTCCCCTCTCCTCCTCTTCCCGCGCGTCTCAGACCACGGTGCTGATGCCCGCTGTTTTTAGGCTTGACGCTGCTGGGCGCCTGGGAGGGCGGCGGCGGTGGGCCGTGGTGGTGGGGCCCGTGGACGGGGTGGGAGGGGTGCGCTGGGTGCGCTGGGTGCGGCGGGTGGCCCCCGTGGCCGTGGGGGTGCGGCGGGTAGGCCGGCTGCTGGTTATGAGACGGGGCGGCGTGGTACTGCTGGTGCGGCGGCGGCGGCTGCTGCTGCAGGTGGGCCGGCGGGTGGTAGTGGTGGTGGTGGTGGTAAGGCGGAGGGTTCTGGGTCACGTGACAGAACTGGGCGTGGTGAGGGTGAGCGGAGGCTTGCGCGTCCGTCTCCGACCGGGCCGTGTGGTGGAGGTTGGCTGGGTGAGGGGTGTGGGAGATGAGGGTGGGGTGCAGGGCCTGCTGGGTGGGGCTGGGCGACTTCGCCCGCCGGGCGCCGAACAGAGTTCCAAGCAGCGAGGAGGAGTTGGGAAGGGACTGGCCGCTGTGGCGGGACGGGCAGTCGCGGCCCGAGGGGGTCCTCCGGCGCATGTGGGGGCTGCTAATGATGGACCCCTGCAAGAGAAAGGAAGGTCAGACCTCAGCAGGGACACTCGTCGCGCCCGCGGCCACACAGCAGATTTCCCTGAAGTTCTACCTGCTGCAGATTCAAATTTTGCCATCGAAGACGAAAAGACATATTTGTCTTTTAGTCCTTTAGTTAGACATCCCCCTGAGCTGTCGCGCAGGTGTATCTGCTGCTGAAGGTTACAGGAGGCTCTTTTGACTTCAATGTGGCCCCTCTGTGTCAATGGAGCGATCTGAAGCTGCAGCCGGCACACATCTGTATGCAGCAGCGTTCATCAACTGTCGAGTTTGGAGTCACCAAAAGTGCAGGATTGAGTTCACCGATGACGTTTTGCCGTTTCTGAATTCCCACTCAGAAGCAGCTTTTTTGTTCAAAGGTTACAGTTACACAGAATAACAAGATACACAAGCAAAACAAACAAAGCAAATCCTCATTGTCATGCAGCATGCAAACTGAACTACGAATGTTTGAGCTTATTTCATCCTCATTCAGAACGATTTCTGTGGTGAGAACGGAGGACGCGTTGAGGAAAGAGGCTGACGTGTACTCTGGTGGTAGAAGGGGACGTTGCGGGGTGGCTCTCGTCTTTTGATCACCTCACCGATATCAACGATGACTCAGTGGGTCCAAAAGAGTCTTGAAATGCAATGTGTGTTCTAACTTTTACCTCTTTTTGACCTTCAGAAATAAACAAGACCAGCTTTTTTTGGTTTCGTCTTCATCTTTGTTGACAATAAGAAAACTAAATAAATATATACTATATCATTTTTTTTTTTACATGTACTGAATATGAATGATCCAAACTGGAGAATGAGAGCCCTGAGACAGTATATGTTGACTCTGTGGCATGTGGGCCTTCATGCTTGGATCATTTCACTAGAGTCCACTGCTGTGTGCCCATGGAAGGAGGAAGGGTGTGGAGGTACAGTATGTCTTGTCGAGGTCAGCGGCCCCTTCAAACTGTGTGAGCATGCAGGATCTGGAGCTGACAGAAGCACGCCCAGCTTTGCTCGGTGTGAACAAAGCAAAAAAACCCAAATGAAAAAAGGACAGAAACCAGGAAATGGCGACGTGTCCAACCCGCACACAAAAGAGGACGACTCAAACGGCCGTAGTGCGCCTTCCGAGTCGGCGGCGGCATCGACGGGTCACGTGATGCCGTGCGGCGGATCATTCCCCTTTGCATGCACGGCGGCGCTCGAGGTGCTCGCCACCAACAAAACACCACCAAGAACAGTCCAAAGAGGCTCGTGCGTTCGGGTCGAACAACACAAAGTCGGCCGGGCGTCGGTTGCGTCCTACTTACTTCCATATTGCTGTCTAGGGATCCCGCACTGCTGCGTCTCCCGCGCTTGCCTGCCCAGAACATGCAACATGACAGATTAGACACACGCCCAGGTTAGCACGAGGTGGTGCACACATCCCTTCTGTCTACAGCGGCCTGGGTGGTGTAGGTGGGGGGGGGGCACTAGCGTTCCCGAGGGGGCAGCAGTGGCACACGGCTAAGCTAGCAGCGGAACGGCAGAGGGATGTAGATAAGGGCTAAAGGGAAAGAGGAAGAAGCAAGGCACTGCTACAACTCCCCAACGGGGTTCTACCCAGTGAGCACGCGGCTGGCAGGAGACCTTCACCTCAGCAGTCCGGAGAATGAGTCACAAAATACTACAATCCAAACATATATGCAATTATTCAATCAGAACCCCCCATTTGTTAAAGGATCGCACTTTTCAAGCCTCACTTCTCCGGTTTTCTAACTGGGGCTTTCTGTTTGTAGTCCTTAAACTCAAGTTGAGATCACGCTGATAACGTCACAATACTCATGTCTCCATTCACATGCTTTTGGAATTTTGCAAAAGAGGAAATGCAAACTAGGCGGCTGCAGGCACAGCTGTAATCCACCAGTGGAGAGTAGAAGAAGAGACTGTGCGCCAGGAAACAAGGCAAATAAATACCTCCTAACGTCTATTCCTTCATCACAGGCTCAAGGAAAGATGGTCTACGGACCATATGGATTGAAGAAGCATCTTAGATGCCTTCATGTGTTGTTACAGTGCTGAGTCATGCAGACGACATAAACAACCAGGTGCAAAGAATTGCGGTCAGGATCGTTTATTCTCGTGAAAGGCTGAAGGATACTTACACTTGACTTAGTTCTATTAACAGAGATCCCTATTTTACCATTTCTGTTTAAGTCAAGTCTAAAAAGTAACAGGTTTACATCTTAAATTTGCATCATAATCTTATAAAACGTGGATGGTGTCAGTTGACACTTAGGTCAAAGATATTGCATTCTTTTATGCTAGATGTCGCATGTGCACAGACTGAAGCCACCTGAGGCAAAATGTGCAAATCTGCGCTGAATGAATGTGTGGGCACACTGGAGTAATGTCCTACAGTTCAGTAGTGCTCACATTCTCTCGGATATTAATGCAGTGTAACTCAAACTGAAAAATAAAAATGTTTTGCTCAGAACATTGCAAAAAGATTCGGCCTCATTGTCCAGTCAGCCATTTCTTGACAGAGGACAAAAACACTTTGAGGGAGCGTAACAACTCGAAATGACTCAAATGGATCACGGTGACCTGCAATTTTCACCCCCCCCCCCCCCAAAAGGGGGAGGGGAGGGGGCAGGGGCCCCGGGCTCCCCAAAAATATACACGCGGCCTCTTTGTAAAAAGCCCCCTTTTACTCAATTTTCACATTTTTTAACTTTTCTTTGGGGGGGGGCGAGAACATATAAGATGTGTGCGGGGGAAAAAAAAACCCAAAACAAAACAGAGAGGGTGAAAAACAATGGGTGTTCTTTTAAAAAAAGTTACCCCCCCGGGGGGGGGGGGGAACGGTATCGTGCCAGCGGTGCGGCTTTTGCGCGCACTACTCTCGTCTAGCGGAGGGATGACGTTGTGGTGACCGAGTTGCCGCGGCAACCCCTCTTTTTTTTTTTACCTGCGTCCGAGAGGTCACGCAGGGAGCTGCTGAGGGCGCTCCTCTTCAAACCCTCGACGACGGCGTAGCTGTCGTCCAGGCTCCCTCGGCTCAGGTTGCCGTTGCCCGTGTCCTTCTTGAGTCCGGAGCACTGGGACATGATGGGCCTCACCACGCCCTTCTGCTTCTCCAGCTCCGCTGGGAAAAAACACACACGTACATCGTTAACAGCGACGCAGACAAACAGGCTTTTCCGTTTCAACCGACCGTAGGAGGGGAGAAAAAAAACCCCAACGCTTACATTCTATCCGGTACTTCTCCATCTCTTGGACTTCAGCGATCGATTCTCGCAAATCGTCGGTGAACTTCTTGCGGTCCTGAGGGTTGGGCGCGTTGAAGTTGATAAGGACTTTGATGTCAGCGCCGGGAATAGCTGAGGTGAGACGGACTCCATTGGGATAATCTAAATGGGACAGAATCAACGCTTTTACACCAAAGCACCAGGGGGGTTTAAAGAAATTCTGCTTCCACAACCGGTGTTTTGTATCTTATCCTGTCACACAGTAGTACCCAAGACAGATAATCTGTGAAAAAATGAGTATTCTACTTCCTCCTTTTAGTACTCCTAATGGCATTCACAAGATTTTATGAGTATCTGTGTACCTGTGTGTTGCTATTGGGATACAGTGACAGTTGTATCATTACAAAATAGCTAATAAAAGTTACCATCTACAGCTTTCAGGTGCCAGGATGCTTCCTCGTTTGATCGCTGATCTCTCCTCTCCGTGAGTTTATTGAAAAGTCCAAACTGCTTGGTGGTTCTGAACCACCACAAACATTTCTGACACCTTCAGAGTCAGCGTCCACAACGGCAAACGCGTCACTTACACTGGTTCTCAAAGAGCAGCACTTGCATGCCGTAAAGGGAGAAGGACTGCCGAAAGCTGTACGTCACAGAGTTCTTCTTCTTTTGGAAGATTTTAGTAACCTACGAAAAAAAGAAAGAAGCAAGGAATACAATGTGGGTTCGCCTCTTACAGCGGATGCCAAAGTTTGTTGTTTGAGGGCCGGCCCTTACCACCAGCAGGTCGTTGAAGAGGAAGATCTCCCTCTGGTGAAGGCCCAACTTCTGAGGTTTGTTGGGGTCGGGCACTTCAAAGAGCCTGCAGTAACACACCAGTCTGCGGTGCGGTAAGGAGAGCACCTGTGCACACGATACGGCCTCATTACAGAGTATCCACACCTCTATACCTTCCACAGTGTTTGCAGAAAGGCTATTTTTATATATGTTTTCCAAACATTTCCACTTAAACCCAGAGATTCAGATGACAGGAACTCACACAGCCCAGACCGTGGTGCAACGAGCCGATCTGGAACGGAAGAAATGCACGCAGAGAGTCATTTTACAGGGATCAGTGAACACATACGGTGGACTTGAAGAAGAAGAAAAAAACGCTGCGGCCAACAAGACAAATGGGCCACGTTTACAATCGGGAAAACTAGTTTTATGGATCACGGGCCAAACTGTGTACGCCTTCCTCACAACCCATCTATCTTTGCTGTTTGCCGCGTGGCCGATGTGCGTTAGGCTTTATGACCACTACGTCGCCGAGGTCCCGTGGACTTCTGCTTATTCGTGTGACAGAAGTTTGATGAAAATGCCCCGAACGGACGGAGGGGAAAGGCCGCTTTATTTTAGAGGGAAAACGGCTCCATGATTACGCGGCGCGGGGCCATTCATCTCGTTTATTATTACGCAGCTTGTCAGAAGGGTCTTTCTTTGGTTCGCTCTCAAAAACGTATTACTGTCATCCAGCATGAAGGACTCTGGGGCCCGAACAATCGATGCGTCACACAGCGGCGGGAGCAAGTCCAGGTGAGGAACGCGCTTTCATTTCCATTTTTATTTATTTTTTTCACAGAACGTCGGCTGTGATGGAAACCGCCGCTCTCTGTGACGGCCCCCACAGGATACGTGGGGTAATCTGGCAGTCGCGCGTTCCCCGTGATATGTTCAGCTCCCAAACGGAGGGCGAGATGAAAGCGCTCTATACCCCCTACCCTCCCCCCCTCGAGGGCAATCTCAAAACGCACCGGCTTTTTCCCAACGATGAGTTTCTCCACTTTCTGGACCTGGGACACGTGGTCTTCGTTGGTCTTGAGCTCCCGCTTGCGAATCCGCTCGTAAATCCCCACCAGCATCTCTCGGGGGATGTCTTCCCCGTCATCCACTCCTGTCAGAGGATGAGAGGAAGGAGAAGGGGGAGAGGGGGAGAGAGGGCTCATGATTAATTCAGAGATTCGGGAGAGTTGATGAACCCTTTGAGTTTACCTACACGCTGCTGCTGCTGCGCTGCACACATTTCTAGCTTTCTGAGGACAAACACTTGCCCATTCAATACTGTACTTTAATTAACGACTACTCCAGTAGGCAGGGAAATGAGTCCACCGTGCTATAAAGACCCCCCACCCCCCCGCCCCCGCTAATACCTTCAAAATCCGTCGACGGCAACTAAAGAGAGATTTGCATAACCAGCAAAGCTCTCTTAAGACTTCCAAACTTCCAAAACCAACCAAACACCTTACTGACACGGACGTAATCAATGTAAGACACATGCAAAAAACTCAATTTGGAGTGAATGTTTATCCAGCGTCTGAAGATAATTGCGCTGTCGTGACAGGAAGGCGGACAAAGCACCTCGAAGGTTCTTGACAAAGTCCTCCAGCTTCATCTTCCTCTCCGGCTTGACGTTGGGGCTGTACATGTCCGTGTTGAGGAGGATGATGGCAAACGCCAGGATGAAGATGGTGTCGGGATTCCTGAACTGCCGAACCACACCGGGGTTGCAGATGCAGTAGCGTTGGCTGCGGAGAGGAGATGTCGGACGCACAAACTTTAAAACACGTTTTCTGCTAAGAAGTCGATTTCCCCACGACTTGTTATTAATGGAACACTTATTGGAAATGTAATTTGCCCAAAGGAAAAAGCTCCATTTCTATTTGTTTGCTTCGTTTATTTGTAGTAAGGACAACCAGTAAGGTTGTTTGCCATAAACATATCTGGGCCTGGATCTGCTTAACAAGTACAGATCTGGATGGAATAATGGACATTTTCCAGTTAGGCTGACTAGCTTCTCAGAATACCAAACGAAAATCCCACAAGCACACTTATTGGCTTGTCCCTGCAGAGATTGAGAGCTTAAGCCTTTATCTGAGGAGACCAATGACGCGTTGATCAATTAGTATCGTCCTAATTTAAAATAGTTTGCACAGTACTAACATTTGTAAAACAATCAAGGACAAAGGATCAATATAAAGACTTTCCCTTAATGCAAAATAATTCCGTTCCCATCGTTTGATCCTCTCATTGGCGGGAATATCGATGTTGATAATATTGAGGGGCACAATAACCCTGAACCGGCACCGCCGAGGAACGTCGATGCCGCCTGCAGCCGTCAGCAGGTCCCCACAAAGTGAGTCCATGATTTTATCCGGACGCCGCTGCCGGAGGTGAGCGCCACGCGATCAGTTATCGCTATCTCCACAATGCAACAGTGACTGCGGTGTTTACTGAGGCCGAGACGTCCTCGCTCAGCGCTGATCGAAGCTAATTCTCTGTGGGCATGAGAGCTCCTTTCCACCGGAGGTTTGAGCAAATAAATGACTCCCGAACAACATCCATCAGCAGCCCGGAGGGAGGTTCTCCTCTGCTTTTTAAAACTAATTTCCTCTAAATGACTTTGCACAGATGCTCTTTAACCGAAAGTGTTAAAGACACAGACTTTCCCCGTCACCTCTGTTTTAGAGGACAATGATGTTTTTAGACGCCATCTTTAGACAGGATCCAATTCCAGTATTAACGGGAAGCCGATATATTTTGGATACGGCAGCTACCATCTTTGTAATGGTCCACCTGTCACGTAATCCTCAATTAGTCAGAGTTAATGCAAGACTCTCTTGGCAACAACATCCCATTATTCCTCCTAGAAGTGGAAAACTATTTCCACGAGCTGTCATTTGATTGACGAAACCACGTTTAGTGTCTCCAGTATTTCTCACCTGTAGGCCTCGATCAGGCGCTCGACCTTCTGTGCTTCACCTTGCACTCTGATGTGTGCCTGGAATTTCCTGAGCGCCTCGTCCAGCTCCATCGCTGAGAAGTCCATTTCGTCCACCACACAGCTGGTGAAAAACACAGAGTGGCGCTTTCATCAAATAGCTTGATTCTTCCAGAAAGCTGCATGGGACTCAGCTCTGCATAGGACATAAATACAGCTGCTGCTTGTAGAAAACATCCTTGTTTCTGCATGTAGACTAAATAGCTTCCGTGCAAGTAAATTTATCCTTTTTAAACTTTTGAAATGTGAATATGTTTTATTGCTTTCACTAAAAGCAGCACCAATAATTTCCACTAGCACAGCACATCACGGACCTCTGACATATTGTCACCTTTATATAGTTGACAAAAACAAACAGTACCCATAAAGTAGAAGCAACGTGAGCGTTTGGAGTCCTGTTTCTGGCGACCAAATAAAAGAGCGTAGATCAAATAGTCCCTCTCCAGTCTTTGTGTCTATCGACCTCTGAGAAGAATACCTCTAGGTGGCTGAATAATCCATTCATTTCACTGGCTATCAGTAACTACGTCTGTGGTTTAGTGTTGGGTGAGTACATACAGTGGGTGCAGCAGATATTCCGTTCAGCTAAAACAGCTGCCAGTGGCTGAAAATGACTTTCATGGGAGCAGTGAGACTGAACTAAAATCAACAGCCTGGAATCAGCTTGAACCGCTCGATAGAGCCCAGGATAACAGGCGAGGGATGATTGTTTGTCGGCAATCCCCATTGACTGTTTTATTCAAACTTTTACTTAAAGTGCCTGATAGGTTTTTTCTGGAGTGGGGGAGCGGGACCAGGCTCTCTAGACCCTCGATACCTTGATAGCGTTCATGTCAGGATTTATAGACATTCCCTCATGGAGGGTTTAGATGTGCTTGTCAGACTGACTCTGGTGGAACTCTTATCCTGCGCTGAATCTCGACGGGCTCTGACAGCTCGGCCAGAGTGCGTTTCAGATACGTCTGTCTGCTCAAAGGCAAGTAGAGGTGCTACTGGAAAATCAGAGATTCTTTAGTGTTCTCCCCTGAAGCATATCGTGCAGCAGGAGGAATAGGTTGGGCTTGTTACAACGATTTTTATCATTAGACTCCTGAGTGGACTCCGTTTCTGTTTATTTCCTTGGTTTTAACTTCAGTCATTATTCGGTGCTCAGAAACTCCGTGCTTCTTGCGAATTGGCAACAGCGTTTACAACTGAATGATTGTGTCGCAGGGAGGAAAATAAAATAAGACGTTAAATTGCTGCAAACTCACTCAAGAACGTCTCGGTTGAACTGTTTCTGCCGGTTACCCAGGAATTCGCCAATCATCTGCCTACTCAAGCCTTTCCTCTGGAGCAGGAAGTGGGCCACACCCACCGGAGTGTCCGGCACAAAGTTTCTCTCTATCAGATACTGGATGCCTTTTTCTGGTTTCCTGGAGACATAGGAGAAGGTAGAGAGATCTCGATAGGCAGAAATAGGACATAATCCAAAATCTGTGATTTGCCCCCGGCCAAATGTGTGTCAGATGAGGGAGGGGGTTTGGAGAGAGGCAGTGGGGGAGGGTGGTGCAACCGGATGAAGGCTGAGAGTGTGGACGATGGGAGCTACTTTCCTCCGGGGTGTTCATCGCAAATGATTAAAAGGAACTTAAAGAAACCAAATCCACAATCATCCATGATTAAATGGAATCACAAAGTCTAGGATGGATCACTCTGCAAGAAGAGGGGCAGAATGAGACCCCGACTTAATTTGCACCGTAAGTAGATAAGACAGATAATAGTCTTGTTTCAATCAACATCTGGAGTTTACGGTTGTGTTCTAAAGCACAAAGAAAAGACTGCATGGAATTTAAACAACCTCCTCCGCCTCATTGGGTACGTTATATGCAAGACACAAGCGAGGTATCGCTTTGGGTCAGAATCTGTGTGAACAGCCTGGAATCTCGTTCGTACTTGTTGAAGAGGTTGAGGCCGATGCGGTAGTGCCTCTTGCGGATGATGTCATTGCTGAACGCGGGCGAGTCCCAGCTGTTGCGGGTCTCTTTGTGGTACGTCTGCTTGCTGAGCGTCTGCTCCCTCAGGCTGTCCCTGGATGAGGACTCGGAGCTGCAGTTGATGGTGTCGTTGGAGTTGGATGTGCTGTTGATGCTGTCGTTGTCGCCGTCGGAGAAATCGGACTCCGACTTGCTCTGCCGGTTGGCGGTGCCGTTGATGGCCAGGTGGGCCTCCAGTTGCCGCGGTCGGTGGCGGGCAGCCTCCTCGTCCCTGGGAGGCCCTCGGGGTGGCAGGCCGATGTTCTTGGGGCTGCTCTGCTGGTTGCCGTGGCCCCGTTCGTAGGCGCTCTGTCTCTTCAGGGAGCTGCGGTCGGAGCGATCGCTCAGCTCCACCGAGCTGTCGCTCGGCGGCTCGATGGTCAGTAAGGGCAGGTGGTCCACCCGCAGGCGCTGCTCTTGGCATTCCAAAGATGGCGTGCTACGGCAGCTGGTGTCCGTGTCGCCTTTATCGTCCTTGTGAGCCAGGGACCAGTAGTCCTGGGAAGAGTTGAGGGAGCGCTGGCGCAAGTCGGATTCTGTGCTGGACGGTCGGTCCACGGATTGAGACAGGGGCAGTGGCGGGGAGAGTTCTTCTTCATCGATGTAAAGCGTGACATCGCTGTAAGACGCCGTCATCTCGTCTAGTTTGCGATGTTCCGAAGCGCCGCGGGAGGGTTTCACCTGGCAGCTGACCTCCCTGTCCATGTCCTGGTGGGCTATCCCTGGCTCCGACTGGTTGTCATCGCCGTGCAGACTGCGACAGTTGAGCGCATCGTCTATGGACTCGGCTAGAGACTTGACCTGCCTGGAGAAGGCATCTTCTAGTTCCGAGATAGCGTCCGTGAAGTCGCTCTGCGTGGTGGGGGTCTTGGCCTGAAGGCCCATCTCCCCGCCGAGCTCGGACTGCACCAGTGCACCGATTTTGGTGCTGTCATCCGTTAGTGAGACCTGCTTTCCCTCAAAGTAGGAGCTGTGGACTTTTTCAGGTCCTTCAAAGGAAAACTGCATTCTCATATTGGATAGGACGATCCGTCTGGACATACGGTTCTCCGACATAGAACTTCTCAGACGCTCAAAGTTCTTGTTCATCTGGTACTGGCGGAAGGCGGTCTGGATGGTGCGGGCTGCATGCCGGGTTATGAAACGCCCACCATATTTACGCTCTAGCATCTCCACCTGCATGTAGAGAGGGAAAGTAGGCGTTATGAACACATCGGACAAACAACTGGTGGCAGCCTGCATGTATTTCCTTAGTGGTGATGGCAATCTATCCATGCAAATGTTCCCTGCAATGGGACAACTGGTGATAGTGATCCTAGTTTAAAACAGAATTTTCCCTTTTGTGCTTGGAAATGGCTTGACTGCCCCCCCCCCCCCCCCCTTCACCTGCTTGTCCTGCAGGTCCGACGAGAGCTCATAGCTCTCCGACAGCGAGCGGGACCGCTTGATGGCCTCCTCCTCTGCCTGCTTGCGTAGGATGGACTGGGAGTGCTGGAGCTTGGGTCGGCGGGGCCGCAGGTGGCCGGGTAGCAGGATGTGTCCGTAGAGCTGGCTGTCCAGGTGGTCGGGGCCCAGGCCACCGCTGTGGCTCACTGGGATGCAGCTTTAGACCCCCCCGGGTTCCACAGAGGCGCCCACCTCGCTGCCCGCAGCATCACCTTCCACGCTGCAACGGACAAGGCACGCCGGGGTCAGTTCGCTGAGTCACTGTGAGCGAGCAGCGCTTTGTGTATCTGCGAGGGGGGGGGGGGGGTGGAGCTTCGACACCTCTGGGATGGGCATCAATATGAATATACTTCCTTTACAATGCAGAACGTACCTCGAGTCTTCCTAATCAGTAGAAACCTACCACTGACTCTTGATAAGGATAAAATGTTTTTAGGCAACGCTGAGATCACAAGGACACCATGGGGGGCTTATCTTATCTATCTTCGTGACTTCGATTAAAACAGCGCGCGCGGTGTCAGGAGTGATTAAAGTGTGCGAGGCAGAGCCTTTAACATTGAGATCAATGATGATCTTTTTCTGCTCAGACACTGGTCAGTGGTCGAAAGCCCCGGCGGCGTGGAGCCACGCCCCACCGGACCGGTCAACCACAGATCTGTTCCCCCCGGGCCTGAGATGCTGGGAGGGATAAAGTGTTTAGCGACTTAGACACAGCTTAACAACAACAACAACAAGGCCACTGGAAAGGGGGGAGAGGGGCTAAAACCCCTACCTGATGTGATGCTTTTGAATGTGCAGTTTATTAAGCGGTCGCCTCTCCAGAGACAGAAACGTTTGACTTTCTGTGTACAGAAGCAGCACTCGATACCGATATCTAGGAAGACTTAAGTGAGTATTATGTGAAGACATCAGTTCAATAAATACATCAGAAGCCAGCTAATAAAAAAGGGATGAGGCCCTAGAGATGTACGAGTGTGAATCACATAACCAAATACAGCCCCCTGGCTAAGAGTGTCCCGACATGAAGAATGAGCTGCGGAGCTGTAACCCAAACCCCAGCCGGCAGGTGGTTAGTATGCTTATGTGAGTAAGGCCTAATGCACTTCCCCCATCGATCGGTCGCACGCAGCAGTGACTTACAGTGAGCAGAAGACAATCAATTCAGTGGTGCACAATGAAAGGCCTATCGTACCCTCTGACCTTGTATCAACAGCAAAATCGATGAGTCTGAGAGAGAAAAATGGCCCGCATTCATAAAACAAGCCAGGAGTGAGTTGACACGTGGAAATGTGAGCTTTTTTTTTTTTTTTTTACATCGAAGCAACTGTCTTTCGCAAAATAGGGTCAATATCTTTTCATTTTCCCTGTCAGCGGCTGATGGATGAAGCAGAACGGCTCGGAACAAGGACATCTATCCGGAGGCACCTATCACTGCATTATCGCGTTAAAGACCTCTGTATAGAACGAGGTTAGATAATAGAGGTTGATGTAAAAACTTTAATAGGAAAGAGATTGGATGTCCATAGGCGGCTCAAAGCCACAAATAGTCCTGGATCGGGCATCCAAAGTGAACAGGGGTAAGAAATGATGCCTGTCATCTGCTTGTGCAAACAGCCTACCGGGGGGGGCTTAACGTTTTATTACATTCAGATTATGTCACTTGAGCACAGTTGAATATCTTGTGAACAATAAGAAATACACACGTGAAAGCAGCAAAGATCCAAATTGACAGTCCCATAATGAGGAAGCGATAGTTAAACCTGTAGTGGTGAATGGCAAGGAAATATTATTTTTATTATTTTAAATATTAAGTATTTGAAAGTCACTGACAAACAATAAGGGTTCTTTTTGAAATTCAAAAGACACGACTGAACCGTATGTAAGTCACCGTGTTCATCGTGACTTTACCCATTTGAACTGCTGTGCTGAAGCACCAGGTTTGGCAACTTGGCCGTGACCATCTTGGATTTTTTGGCCACTGATCAACAGAAGTTTTCCATATCCGTGTTATAGACTTCTATACAAACTGACTTATTTTACAACCGGAAGTCGAGTTGCCCCCCCCCCCCCCTGCTGGTCAGTACGGAGAATGCAGGCGTTCAGACGCATTCGTTTGGATGGAGATCAGGCTCAGCCTACTTTACATGTAGCTCTCAGGGGCCACGCAGGAGCCGGCGGACGCTTCCAGGAACTCACGCTGAAAGCGCTGTTTGACAAGCACTGGTTTTGTTGAGTTACTGAACGAGATGTTTGGCTCTTAGTTGCACATTAAAAGGAACCACGCAACATTACACAAGACAAACAGCTGCTCTGGGGAAAAGTGTCGTTGAGGACGAAATACAACACTTTATATCTCATTATGAATGAATGAGCCTTACTGATCCAATTCCCTTAGACTGGGAGGACGGAGTGAGGGGACTCCGGTCGGACCTGAGAGCCTTTTACGGTCTGTTTAATGCATTTATCCAGCCTCATAGAAATGAGGCACCGCTGTTAAATAGCACTTCAAGGGGAAAGATGTGTACTTTACATTTTGCTTTGTCTACGGAGAGCACGGAGACTGTGATTGGTAATCACGGACTGCTTGTGCCTTCTCTGAAGCTCCCCCGTTTCTGATGTGATGACTATAAATAAAGCACGATACGGCAGGAAATGATCTTTCTGGAAGCGTCCATCGGGTATTGTCTCAAGCATAATCCAGAGTGAAGTAGGCCTTCATTTGATTATTGGACTGCCCAAACATTGTTTCTAGTATCCGGACCCATCCAGGCTTGTGGATCAACCTCCAAAAACCCTCGATCATGTACTTGTCATAGTGTCACTCAACAGCGTCAGATAAACAGGAAACAACTGTGTCAGGTTTAGGCAACAAAACAAACCTAGAACGACTATGTTAGGTTAAGGAAAAGATGGTGAAAGAGTAAATCTACGCTTGACTTCTCCTTTCACATGGCTGAAGACCAGTTGTGTTTAACCCACCGACTCTCCCTCCTTTTTTTTGTGGTTCTTACACTTTGTGTGTTCATGATTATGTCGATAACACACACATCGATTTAATTGGATACCTACAAATTACAGCGCATTGATTTTAGTTATCCTCCACAAACATTTGCAACGCAGACCGGCCATTCAAACTCCAGACGAGTTCAGCATCACAACAACGCAGCTCCTCGGCAGCCCCAGAAACCATTACACGACTGTGACACAAGCTGCCTGTGACTCGTAAATTAACTCCGGCATACGGAATGAGTCCAGTGCCCGTTTAAACGTCGGGGGAAACCATCGATCGTAAAGGCGTCGTGCACCTCACAACCTGCCCCGGATTCAATTTGAGAAACCCACAAAAGGGCCACGGCTCACCACGGCGGTGCATAAACGGCTGGCTGAATTTTAACAAGGCGTGTGTAGCGGAGGGTGACTGTGTGGATCGAGCTGGGGGGAGAGGGGGGGGGGGTCAGGTGATGAGAGAACAGCTCTGGTGTCAACACCTCCCCTGGAGACGCCCTCTTGGCGCCGATGAGCGGCCTCGCCAAGCGGAGCCTCCTCTTGCCGTGTGGCTCGGCAGTGATGAATTAATTACTCCGACCCGCCGCTCACACACACACACACACACACACGCACACACACACACACACACACACACACACACACACACAACAGGCCTCTCCGGTGGCCTTTGTTTGGCGATGCACTCACACTGACTGTCATGTGTTTTGTTCACGTTTGAGTAAACTCCTCACAATCCGTTTAAGATGCTCACGGTTGAGCTAGAGGCCACCGGAGGAGGAGCGCTAAAACGTTCGACTCATTCACTGACGGAGAATCGACTACTGGCTCATCAGTGGAGCTTTTCTGCATCGCAAATTCATTTCACCAGCAGCCACAAGAGCCAAAGGCATTAAAGGCAGTAACGGCATTTAATTAATGCTTTCCTCATCGATCGCCATCGAGTCCTGCAGCGGTCGCCGGTCACAGAAGGGACCATCAGTGAAATGTACAACCGGCATCACGGGACACATTACAAGTCAAGTAGCCATTAGAAGTAGTGACTTCGGGTCACACTCGGCCTGCACGCCGCTGGGCTTACCAGCTGTCTGGCTCCTGCTCTAGCAAGGACCTGTCCGAGGCCCACTGCAGACGCCACGTGTTGCCTCCTCAGCCCCCACGTACTGCAGGCCCATCACCAACCTTCATTCCGTGACCGCACGCCCAGGCTTAAATGCAGCTCCTCACCCTCGGACGTCTCCTCAGCTCTGGTCTCCCTCTGCTGCCCTGTAAGGAGGGGCGTACGCAGCAAGAGGAGGTGGGGGGGGGGGGGGGGGTTTCTCGATAGGAAACTGGGTGGTGTGGCAGCGGGAGACCTGGTGCCTCGCAGATGAGGAGAGTCTTTATTTCAAACAGAAAGTGGCAGTTCATAGCGAGAAAGACCCCGGGAAACCCCCCCCCCCCGGATGTACAACTTCAGCTGTGGAGGCACGGCTGCAGAAATGTGAGCTTTTACCTCGGTACGACTGCCCCCCAGATTCAGCCTCCAACTTGAGATGGACAACCTACGCGGTGTCCGATCATCGCTACTGCACGGCGGCCAAGGACAAACAAAGGGGGGTCTTTAAATCAGTGGTCCCCAACCTTTTTAGCTCCACGGTCCGGTTTCATATCAGAAAATATATTTTGCGGACCGGTCTCGGAGGTGAGAACGGCAGACTGAGCTCATCCTTTAAACAAATACAGTTTAAAGGGAATGTTTGACGTGTTCAGGGTGATTCCCCACACGCCTATTCCCACGCCTCTGCCCCCACCCGTTTCCATATAATGACATCAATCTGCGCTGTAACCTCTGGTGATGCATCTTCGCTGCAAACACGCTCCGAATTCATAACGGCTCTGAATAACAAGGAACATTGTCCTAATTACAACGTAAATTGTTGTATGTGAAGAGGGAGGTGGAGCAGAATGTCTCTCTTATGGGCCATTACAGAGCTCATTCACAAAGAGATAAAGGTGACTGTGGCAAAAGAGAGGCGTTTAGAATGTGGAGCTCAGTATAGTTGATTATAAAAGGAGTTAAGATGGCGTCTCAGAGGACACTGTAGAATCCCGTCTGCCGACGATGGCGACCTTGGAGCTGCCGTAGCGTCGCCAAAAGGTCCCTTCCCCAATTCCTACCACCTTACTTTCTATGCAGAGCAAACCCAACATTGAATTCATCCTTTATTCGGAACCCAAACCGCCGTTTGACAGCGACTGCGGGGAGGTGCGTACAGTCGGGGGGGGCAATGGCCCCTTGGCCCCCTTTGCTTTGCCCATCTTAAAGACAGACACAGACATAAACACCTGGCAAAGAACTGAAACCTCTTCATTGCCACCACCGTTAAAAAGCTGAACTGAAACCTTGAGTCCGCAGTCAAATTTGAATTAAAATTTAGGTTCAAACTAGTTTAAAAGACTCTAGCAGTTGATTCTCTTCAGCATTAGTGATGGCCGTGCAGCAGAGGGTAGAGCAGCAGCAGCTAACAGCCTCTTCATCTGTGTGGTTGCAGAGGGGTCGCGTGAGACAGCTGCCTTTGGTCAGACCGGGGGGATATTTCATGTCTCCCTTACCTCTGTCTTTACAATGAACAATAGTTAGGAGGAAAGTGACGTGACTTCGCCTCAGGCCACAGACGTGTACTCATCGACACAACGTGGGCACTGTGGCAGATCTACTGTGGGCTCAACTTGGAATGTGTCTTCACGTTGAAGAAATAAAAGTTGAAAAGGACAAAAAATTTAAATTTGCCGCAACAGTGGAAAGACAAAAAATGCCACACAGACTTAAAAGCATTGGACATTAATGTGTGACAGGTTTCTTTACTTGTATTGTCCGTACGTGACAAGAATGTCTCAAGACATTTTTTGAGATGAATCAAAATGACCACATTTAGAAGCTGCGTTATTAAAGCGTAGTTCAGATGACGGCGTGAGTGTTATGCTGTGTGTTAATTATCTATCGGCCGAACTTAAAAAGCCACAGAGGAATTCATAAAACAGCTTTTGCAAACATTCTTTGCTGTTGCTGTTTGAGTGAGTTTGCAGAAAGACAACTCGACAACGGATGGATCTATGGTTTGTATTACAGTCACACACACACACACACACACACACACACACACATCGGTTCAGACTCCCCCGACGCAGCAGCGCTCATCTGAAACACGAGGAGCTCGCAGAGATTAAGGCCGCTCCATGTCTCTCCACATGACAGGACAACTTTGATCATTGCTGAGACGCTTCAACAAGCAACAATACACAACATTGTGTGGTACTCTACACCTGAATCCAGGAGATACCGAGCAAAATAAGTACTTAACCTTCTCCGGTAAAAGATCTCTGAACACAGCTAACAGCGCACAGTGCTTACAATGGCAACAGTGCTAATAAAGCTAGCGGAGGTCACACACACACACACACACAGGGCTTTAATTCACACAATGGGAATCAATAAAGTCAATTAGTATCTGCATCACTAAGATGATGGAGTTGGTACTTCTTTCTGAACGATGTCTACAAAACAGGCAAATTAAAAATGACACTTATATGACACGATAAGCTCAGCGGAGGCAAGAAAAAAGCATCATTGCAGTTTCCAGGGTTTGTTTTTAGTGTGTGTTAGTTTAAAAAAAAACAAGAGACAATTTACAATCCATTTCGTCCCAATTATGGGCCGGAGGTACATGTACTCACAGCAGCAGGCCCGCTATCTAAACAACCCATTGCCGTGGTTGATGCGGTTTTCCCATTGCCCTCCACCAACCTGCAGCGGGGGACCGGGGGCAGGTTTGCACATGAAGAACACATTAGCACATAGCGCATAATTATCTCCCTTTGCACGAGTCCCGTCTCGTTCACGCGGGAGAATAGGTTCGCCACTGAAACAAGGATGCGGGCAGCGACCGCCCTCTCGCCAGCCGCATGCACCTCACACGTCACACTGAGGCCCAGAGCCGGCGCTGCGCGGCTGCCTCTGCGCTGTAAAGCTGTTTGGCTCCGGTTCAGCCCCTGTAATCCCTCAGAGCTCAGAAACCCACCCACGTGTGGCCCCTGGAGGGCGGCCATGGCCCCGCCCTCCCCGCCCCCAACAAGCCACTGCCCCCGAAGGAGAGAGAGAGAAGGGTGGTGGGGCTAAACGCAGATTATTTACTTTAATTATATTCGGATGGCTTGCAACACCCGCACATTTGTCCATTAGCAACAACGCACACGCGTGATATCAATCCGGCCGCGTGGAGGGTTCAGAGCTGAGCGAGGACGATGTCACGTTGATGACCATATGGCATCGGGTCTGTTAAGTGTTTATATTCTGCCCCAACGACCTGTTTGCGGTTATTCGGTTTATCTCTGCTAATCCTCCAGCTGTAACTCTTCCTCCGTCCTCTCCCTGAGCTGTCCATTGGCCCCAGAGCCAACGCCACTAAGCCACGGCGGCGTGGCGAGAAGTAGCGAGCTGAGCGACCTCAGGCAGAAGCGTACCTTCAAAGGCTCAGCAAAGGGGCAGGACGTCTTTAGCGTTTGTGTCAGAGTGAAATGGTGCATTTGAGGAGGGAGCGTCTTACATTCCCTGTAATGATCACGAGGACGACTCTGGTTTTATGGACGTCTTTAGGACCACTTCGCTTTTGGTTTTCTCCCTCAGTAAACATTTAAAAAATGAGTCTAGTTTCAAGTCTTCTCGACATCCTGGCAAACCGTTTTGCACCAACATAAATGATTCATAGCAGTGTATTTTTCCTCTTGGTTTCATGAAGACGTCGGTTTTCACCTAAAACAACAAAAAGCCGGCGGATGCGTCTGCGACTGCGTCGTTGCGTCGACGCACTCAATTCATGGTTCTAAAAGTCTGGCGTGTGTTGCCGAGCAATTCACCTCCAGAACAACAGGCGGAGTGACGCGTTTCTGTTGAAGACGACCTACAGAGTCACGTCTGTCTATTTATTTATCTGCTTAGTTATTTATCATAGACTTTATTGCCCCGTGCATCGCCACGTTTGTCCCGTATTTTCCCCCACAACTTTGTGCACCTCTCGACCGGCAAACCGGCGTCTGTGGCGATCTCCCTCCGTGAATCCAACCCGCCAATGACGGCTTGTATGAGCGCTCATATTTACGCATTTTTATCCAACAAAAGTTCTTCAATCTGCTCCGTTCTCTCGTAAACATCCTTCGTTTTAATAATGGCGGTATCGGGCTATGAAGGCGGAAACGTGAGACTGCGTAGAGGACGTAGTCAGCGGACCGATCGCAGCCTGGTGCGCTGCGGGAGGCCTGCAAGCGACACGCAAGGGGGTCCTGCGTCTGCGTCGCTCTGAAAACGCAGAAGCAGAAACTAGGCTTAATACTACTACATTTTTGTGCCAACACACATAGTGGCGGATTTGCCGCTACGTGCCGTTCTGAGATTCACGTCGTTCCTAAAAAAACGGAACCCGCCTTTCTAAAAGAGGAACCCGCACCTGCCACGTTGTGATCTCGGCACTACTGAGCAGTCTGGGCATCAGGCGGTAAACAAGTCAGCCGGGATCAGCGAGATTATCGAAACCACACAGTAAAAGCCAAAGTAAGCCCTCCTGTAAAGTCTGATAATACCCGTCTGCACAGGGGGACCGAGCGCGCACACGCCTGCAGGAAGTACCGGCAGGCAAAGTTCAACCAGTCAGGATTCAAACCGTGATTGATGTTTACAGACGACTCAAAGGGGACGGGGTTTCTGCAGGGATTACCAGGGTTCATTTAAAGACGTTAAGACCGTCCTACTAGAGTTAAATCTCAATTTAACGGACCCGATGGTCAAACCACTATGAACGAAAAGGCCTGTGTGGGTTTTTATTTGCTCGCATTTACATCACATCTTTGTCCCTAGTTTACAGCCGATCAGTGACAAAAACGTTTTCGATCAAACCAACTTCGGTAGGTGCAACGGTCCAGAAGCAGAGATCCATGCGTAAAGGTTCTAGCAGGTAGTCACACAACCGAGAGGCATCGGGCACAAAGTCGCCGTTGGATATAAGCGATTCCTTGATTTCCAGCCTGCTTTTCGCTAAAATCAACACTTACTCTGGGACACAGTCACCATGAGCATTAGCATTAGCATTAGCACTAGCGAGAGCAGAGAGTCTGATGACGATGACTAAAAGTCCTCACAAAAAAGATTCACCACCAAATCACTGGACGTCACAACCCTTTGAAGTTACTTAAGAACTGATGGAATCAAATGTAAAACCTTTTTAGATACTT